CATGGGATTTCGATGACTGGCGCGGTTGGTTGCAAAGTTTATTTTTTAAAGCATTGATTTCGTTGTGATGGTTGACTGGGAAGGTTGACTGAGATCACCGAATATGACGATAGAGAGGGAGGGGCTATGTAATACATTGCTTGCTTTGGTGACGACATTGTACCTCTGCCTGGTGGTCTAACCTCTGAGGGATGTCACTACCCAACAAGCCCTTCTACACGGTGTCAATACATATTCTGACCCATCATTTTGTCTTCTTTTGTCTTCAAGAAAGTCCCGGAGTGCCAAAATAGCTCTCACAAACCAGTAAGCTTAGGTATTTGAAATTATGAGGCAATCTGTCCACAGCTTCCTTCAGCTTGAATCGAGAAATTAACAAGTCTGAAACAAATAGCACGACTCTACAATGTGGTTTACTGCAACACATAAGTCATTAAGAACCCAAAACTCCCAAACCAGGTTCACTGCCCATGTTTTACTCGAACAACTGCAAGCTACTAACACTTTGGAGAAAAAACGAGGAAGTAGCCAGCCTACAAATAAATATTATTTCCACGAGGATCACATCCTCCAGCTGCTTGTGTGTCAAATACTTTTGTTCGTTATTTAGTTTTTGGTTTTAGTTCTGCAGGCACTGAAGACCACGGCCATTGTGCTTTCGCCCAGCAGCATGGCATCTGGGCTGTGCCAGTAGCCCTTCATCGTATCTCTACGTCGGAAATACCCATTCTACCCGGTATTATGTCTTTTTTCATCATCAGAGTGTCAAAGTGCTACATTGGTGGAAGCATAAGGTGAACGCAATCATAAAGGACAGCTACTGCCATCCCAATTACTAAAATGATACATTTTAACATGACGGCAAAAGGGTATATGGTGGGTTAGGGAGAATCTGTGACCACCCCTAAAGGAAGAACTGAGAACGACGTCCAACCTCGGCAACTACCCCAGTTCCCTCTTACGAAAGAAGACCATTAACGTCCGAAGCGACGTTAGTCGCGAACCATTTGGAAAAGTTTATTACAGAGCTGTCTGCGTTGCTTGCATGGAGGTGTCAACAAAGCGATTATGCGACACCTTTTCCAATTCTATACTAACTGTATCGGACCCAGGTAGATATGACTAGGCAACGCTGGAGTGGCAAAAAGGAATGGACGCGAAACCTCATACAAGTAAAACTGTATTAAAAACCATCCGTGACTAAAAGACCCGGATTATAATCCAGTGTTCTTACGACTGACGATGGACATAGGTGATGACTTGCACATTCTTCTTTACCTTAAATACATTTCCCAGACAGGACGAAACTTCATATCTAGTGGAATTGCCAAGAAGCCTCAGCAACGTTGTGGTCAGGTACCTTCTCAGTTGCACTCAAATTTAATGACTGGCGCAGATCGTTTATCACCGTTTACGTCGTGATGGCTGACTGGAAAGTTTGACGACAAGAGGAGCGCAGGGCACGACGCCCAAAAGAAAGGAGAGGCTATGCAATGCTTTAATTATTTGTTTAACTTTTCCTTTTAGTTATGTGGGCACTGAAATGCACGATCATTTTAAGTCTACCCAAAGGCATGGACTCCAGCCATTGCTGGTAGCTACTCAGCCTATCTGTACCGCGGCAATGCATATCCTGTCCCAGTATAATGTCTTCTTCCACCTTCAGGGAAGTCTGGATAGGCGACATGTGAAAGTTTGAACTGCCAAAGATGGTAGAGGTGTTCGCAACATCACACACAACCAGCAAGAAATCATTTTTTCTTTATTTTTTAATTAGATAACATTAAAAATAGCCAAAGTTCCAAAGAAAAATAGTGATTTTTATAATCTATTTTAGATTATCATAACAACACTGTTGGAAGTCTTCCGTAGCAAACAGGATTTGCTAAAAGTAATGGGTAAAGTATGTGCCCAATTTAAAGGAAATTTAAACTGATTGGATGCCCGATTCCATGGATGTTGTTAATTTCAAGGAAAGATCTCCACAGCGGTAACTCTTAGGGATGGATGGAACCTTGGATACACGCTCTTTTCGACTAATCATAAGCATCAATTGATGGCTAATCTACAAGCAATCTAGAGAGTTGTGCCTTTGCCTGGTGCTGCTCGATGATGACTACTGCAAGGCCGAGGTTTATTAGTTACTATAACTGCAGAATCTAGCTCAGTCTCCGGCAGTCCTTTTTCTATGTCCACCAGGCACATGCAACCTGACCGCACCTCCTTTCCGCATCCGTTATGTCGGTCAATAGACATCCGCTTTGAAGTCCTTACTTATTACTTATCCGATTATCGGGCTTGGTAGGATCCAGGAGGTCTGCTATAGAAATTTTAAGGCAAAAAAATTGCAAGGCTAGTTTATAAGGCCTCTCGACGCGCTTGTAATTGACGGCGACCCAATTAATAGCTCCGTTAATGCTACCTCTATTTCTAATTCTCACCTTTCTCATGACGTCCTCGCTGTGTAAATCAGACCCATCATTTGAGCAAATTCGAATATGCTCCTTTATCTAACAAATCTAGGCTCTTTTAAAAATTGTGTTGTATTTCTGCCTGATAAAGTGCCCAATGTGTGCGCTTTTTAGAGCCACATGGGCCCGCAACTGCCTTGCCAAAAGGACCGTCCCATCAACCGTCAGATGAGATGGCACGTGAGGTAAAAAATCACCCCAGTCACCAGTGCCGCTCGTTTTTCCTCACCAGGTCTACCCTCACACTCAGTGTCAGTTTACATGTTTTTTCGGATCCCTGCGAATAGCATTGGAGCAGCATCCAGGAGCAACAGCAACAGTGAAATCCACAAAAAGTTGAGAAGTGCATAGTGTTCAAACCCAGTTAGCAACATTTTGTTGGTGATACAGTATTGTGTACTGCCTCTGCTTACGAACTTATTCTTATTTTCTATACTGCTCCCCAAACAGTAATGCTTAAAATGGGTAGTCATGCCCATTATAACGCCAGTGTTTGCATAGTAGCTTATGATACGGTACCGACCCAATGATGGGGTTCACCATTGTACCTACGCTGGGCCCCCTGGCCTCTGACCCGACTGAACGTCAACGATACATGTTATAACAGATTATTATGGCTTCTTCTGACTTTAGGGAAGGCTGGGATGTGCCACACTGATAGCAGTGGAAAGCAAACCTGGTATCAAAGGACAAATATTCTCACTGCTGGGTTATAAACATTAGCGGAGTAATAGAAACGCATACGCTGCAGATGATTGAATTGGTGACGACACCCAACAGAAGGGCGGAAATGACATCTACCTACGGCAACTACCCCAGTCTCATGTTCCGTGGGAATGATATTAACAACTGAAGCAATATTTGCATTGAACCGTAAGAAAATTTTTTTTTACGGAGTTGTCTACAGTACCTGCATGAAGATGTCAACGAAGTGAACACTTGATACCTCCTCAACTTCCATACTAGCTGGATGGATGGCTGGGCAGCTGTGAAGTGAGATCAACGTAACAAGAAGAATTAGACGTAGAATTCTATCACCATTGCATTATGTTTAATCTTGTCCTTTGTTACGTGACTCTGATTGTGGACCAGTACTTCTACGACTAACGACGATGACCAGCATATTTCCCACCCCCCAATAAATTTACCATACGGGAAGAAACTTAGGACCCAGTGGTATTTATGAGAGGTAATGGTAACGTTGAGGTCGAGTACGTTTTCAGGTAGATGGATGACGCGGAAGTTTGATCACAAGGAGAGCGCTGTTGCCGAAGCCCAAAAGGGAGATAGTGTGGAGCGAAACTCGTCGGTCTCCGCTTCCCTATTCCTAGCGTTCCTAGACAAGCCCGGTTGATTAGCTTTGGACGTCTTTATTAAAGGTGACAAGATAGAGCGGGAAAATACAATGTTCAAGAAGGAGGGGAGGCGCAGTCACTAGGTAAGGGAGAGGACGATCTGGTCACGAGATTCGAATTTCCTGATTGTTTCCTCCCTGAAAGGGACATTAAAACAACATAAGTATTACCATAGGCTATGTAGTGAGTTGATTGTTTGCTTAAGTCTTGGTTTTGGTTCTGAGGTCACTGAAGGGCTCCGTCATTGTACCTTCGCTGGGTGACATGACCTCCGAGCGTTGCCAGTATCCCTCCAAATCCTCTCTACGTCGATAATACATATTCTTTTCTAATGGTGAACTTCTAAATCATTGGTGTCGTCAACAAATTTTTTCAACTGTGATGCGTTTGTAACCATTTTAAAGGGAAAAGGTGTGTCCAAAGCAATGTGATAGTGATGTCTGTGTATAAGTCCATCACTTTAATTGCTTGAGTCGCTGGAACGTTTCTTAAGGTTAATTATAAACATAAAGGGCTTAACGGTGCTTCTACCAGTTCATTAGTGTCAGGTAAATTAATTGCAGAACAGCTACTTTTTGATTTCGTTTGTGTTGCTAGGCCCCTATGAGTCAAATACCCAAGAAACTGATCCAGAGGGAGGGAAGAGCAAACTTTTTGAAAAATTGTTATTTGATAAACTTGGCTCGACATTTCATCAATCATCGTACAGGAAGATACATGACACCAGCTGAAGAAGTTAAAGTGAGGGAGGGTATCACAATTGCAAAAATTTAAGAAGACCTTATTGTGGGAAGCATAAGTGTTCGTAATAGTAGCGGTGGTGGTGGTGGAGGTGGTGATGCAATACCTTTGGACGGTTATAATTGAACCCGAGCCGTCATGCTGATGCTGTACACATGTACACACGTACTTGGAACGACGTGTTTCTACTTAAATAATATCAGTAAAGGTAAAATAGAAGCACAGACTGTTCCGGTGAGGGTCATGCTGATGTGCTTTAGAGCGCGTGCACGACGCTGCTGCTAGTAAGAGGAGAGTTAGTAATAAAAGGAAATCAGTTGCAATGACATGGGTGGTGAAGAATAAATGCGGTGGTAGGAACGGGTGATGAGGGACAGATGGAGAGGGGGAGAGGAATAGAGAGAACTGGTAGCCGAAGAAAGACGCAAGAGGGCTAAATGGCCTCCTTGGCTTTGCCCTCATCTTCATCATCCTTTTCCTCTTTTACCACTTTGTCCTCCATATTTTCCTTTTTGAGATGAGCTGGAGATGGTGAACAGATGGGGTATGTGGACGGTTGCTGCGTTTCCTCAACCACCGTAGCATTTGGGGATGGAGAGACTGAGGGAACCTCAATTCCAGTTCCTTCTGTCGCCACGGAGGGGGTCGCTTTGGGAGAGGTGATGGCGGTTGTAGTGACAGATGTGGTAGAGGGCGTGACTACTGCCGGTTGAGAAGAGGAGAGTGGTGGTCGCGGTGCAAGGATGGTGAGTCCTCCGGCACTCAGAGCTGCTGCCGCCAGCGTGGCTCCGTTAGGTCGAATCATGAGGCCTGACGGCACGAGAATACTGCCCGTCTTCGTCCCCGCTGTCGTCTGTGCCTGTTGGGCCTGCTGTGGCTGCATCATCACTCCAGCGCTCCCGTTGGGCAGCAGGCTTGACTGGTTGGCAGCCGCAGCAGCTGCCACCGCGGCAGCCACGAATGCCGAAGTGTCCGCAGATGCCGTTGACGGAGTATCTGGGGCTGTTGGAGGCAGTGGTTTCGGCAGTCCATTATTCGAAGTTCGAGCTCGCTTGTTCGCAAACCACTTTTTCACCTGCAACACACCGAACCATGCATTTGCGTCGAGTAATCGGAGAATAATTGTCGTCTACAACTTGGGCTGATTTGTGAAAGTTCATTGACGAGTCATATTCACGCGTAAAATAATCTAGCCCAACGCTCTTTCAACCTTTAATGATAATGGCTTCAGAATTTAGACTGTCATAATTAAAAGGAATCATGGATACTAATATTATTTAAGACAGAGGTGCCCGAGATGGATGTTACTCCTATGCTTAAGTAAATTAGGAAAAAGGAAACTTTACTGTAAACCTGACGGTGATTCCTCTCGCCCAGACACAGAGTGTGTGTCCACGGACGCACGCGCGAACACGTCCACCAACGTCTGCACCGCATCGATCTGGGCCTAACCTACAACCTCCTCCTCTGCCTGCTTCTCCTCCATATGCCGGGCACACACACACACACATGTTCATCTGCCTGCTTCCTTTCCCCATTGCGCCTACATACACATACGCACTGTGAACGCACGCAGGTACAGCAACTTGCTCGCGCACCCCAATCGATATTCGCACACACTCGCTCGGTGGGTGTGTGCTGAGGTCGCTGTGCTACCATTGGCTCCGATTGCCAACCAATCCCCTCTGAGGACACGCATTTCGATGCCTTCAGGTGTGTGCGCAAGCGCACCAAAGACGCCCAACACACACGCAAGCACACTCGCGCACTCGTGCGTGTGTGTGTGTGGGGGTGTATGATGGGGCAAAAGTTTGTACGCACTAGCAGTTTGGTCTACCTCTGCAAATTCACTCAAGTAGTGGCGAGATGGAGCGAGTGGGGTGACCGGACCTACCTGGGAGTAGGTGAGTTCGGACTTCTGCGCGAGCATTTTCGTATCCTCGGTGGAGGGGTAGGGCTTGTAATGGTGCGAGTTGTACCAGTCGGTGAGAATGCGGTTTTGTAATGCAGTGAAGTTCTGCCGATGCGGCCGAGTACCCAGTCCACTGCTTGTGCGGCGACTCGCTTTTCCAGAGGCGGAGGTCGATTTGCGTGCACCGGCGCTGCTCATTGGTGAACCACTGTCCTCGGTCGTCACCTCGAGATGGGTATTGAGTAGACCCTCTGTCCCAGCCTCCTCGGCTGCCACCACCGAGGTGTCCGTGTCCGTGCCCGCTCCACCACCGCCACTGCCACTACCACCGCCACCAGCGCCACAGGCACTGGAGAGTTCCTCCAGACTTGTACAGCTGGCGGTCTCGCGGAGGGACTGCACGGCCACATGGGGCGAGGTCGTGTCGCTTCTGGGAAGAGCTGGGACCACGGTGACTGGCGTCATAGTGCCGTTGTTTATCGATTGGGTCTGACTGAATCCTTGAGTTCGCAATTGCGGTGTTGCTGGTGTTGGTGGTGCCTGAGCCACGATGTTAAGAGGACTACCAGCTGCGGCAGCAGTCGCAAAGAGAGCAGCATCAAAGGACAATTGTGGTGGAGGCGGTGGTGGTGGGGGTCGTGATGCTAGGTGCTGTGAGGAGGCGATGGCAGGAGTTGCTGGTGTCACCGGTGTACCACCCAGGCTTGTCACGAAGCTAGCTAAACTGCTGGGTGGACCTCCACTTGTCAGGGCAAAGGAGCCCAGACCGGCTGGTTGGCCTGGAATTAGGCTTGCCACTGGAATAACTGAAAATTAAAAATAACTTATTAGATTATTTATTAATTATGAAGTCATGGACTGCAAATTTATTCGTCTTTTCATCGAGAATCACCCAAATAACGGGGCGGTTAGATATTTGTCATTAGACTTTTCCAGTATGAATAAAACTATTATGGATCCAAGGCGTAAGTCGAAGAAATTCTTGACATGAGTGATGAATGGATATTGGCTTTGAACGTCTCATTGAAGGAGACTTATCGCACCACGACAAATGAAGGTGCCTGATTGAGGTGGGGGCTCGGCACTGTAGAGTAATGACATGCAGAACGCAGGGACTGCTCAACAAAATCGATGAGGCGCGATGACATGCACACCCGCCAAATTAGCAATTCTGATTTGAGCACCACTCACTCATTCACTCAGCTTGCATAAATTAACTTTTACCCCTCCTCTTGCTTATACTCACATTCTCCAGTTGGCAGAGTAATTCCCTTCAGGGAGTTGGTGGTGCTAGGCGGTGCCAGCGCGGACGCCAGCGCCAGCCCTGCGTTGGAGAAGCTAATTGCACCCGAGCTAAGCCCATCCACTGCCGCTGCCACAAGGGGTGTTGTAGTCGGCGCCGAAGCATTGCTAGTTACAAGGGAGGGCGAGGACTGCAACAGCATTTGGGAGGAGATGACCTCATTCAGGGAGTCTTTAGGCACTTGGGAGGCCTTGACTCCCGTTAACGCCGATATGAGGGCTTGGAGTTGGGAGATGTTGACGAGGTGAGACGTGTTGGTCAGATGCTTCGCTGCCTCCGCGTCCATCTTAGGTATGTCAATCGAAGCAGTGGTTTGGGGTGAGGTAGAGGGCAGACCAATGGTGATATGCTGCACTCCCGCAGATGGCGGTGGTATCACGGCACCAGTAAGCTGAGCCGTCAGGGCGGAGCGCAGTGCGTCAAGGCCGTTTGCGGCCGAGGCCTGCAGTTGGTCGGCTTGAATCAAATCGGCCAATTTAAGCTCAGTGGTTTTCATTTGAGCTTGCAGTTGGTGCTGTGCTTCGACTGTGGGTCTCATCTAGTAGAAATAACAGTGAAATAACCTGTTAGCATAGCAACAATAATTTTTAATGCATCGAGACTACATTCTAGAGGGACTCCAAACAGACCTTCAGATTTGCTCTCCATTTGAACAATATATATTCTTGGGGCTCGAATTTTAGAAATGTACCCGCACAAATCAGTTATGTGGTTTGATAAACGAGCACTCCAGACTCACAAGCAGTAGCTCATCTACTTTGGGAGGTGTCGTACGAAGTGGTGGCTTCTGGCCTCTCATTTGCTAACTAGGAAAAGTTAATGCCCTCTTTGGGAGAGAGGAGAAGTATACAGTAGATCATAATTATGCATCTATAGAGTATCGACGCCCCCGGTGTGCACTGCTACCTCTCGTGTGAGTCATTCTCCCACGATTCGGAGGAGGAGGCGACAGTGCCAGCGGTGGAAGGCGATGATGATCATGCTGTTGCTGATGACCGTAAGCTAGAGTAATGAAGGCATTTGTTGGCCCATTTCTCCCCTACCCCCTCCTCCCGCCTACACCGGGCGCACGCACATGCATCGACGCGAGTCGTTGCATGTGCGTGCACAGTTTGCGAGCGCAAGTGCCTGCTTGCGTGCGTTGTACTGCTTTTATCGATTGGGCGTCGATGTGTGCATGCGCACGCACTCGCACTTTTTCCGCTAGTCCGCGCGTCTGAGCCAATGGGAGTGCGTGACAGCTCAGTCCACAGCGTACAGCACACCGGGCAGCAGGAGGGGGAGAGAGGCCAAGGTGGGCAATATGTGCGGATCGTGCGTGTGTGTGTGCGAGCAGTATGTTTGTGTGTGATGCCCTTACCTCATGCCTTCCCTCATCCCCTTCCTTCCTTCCCTCCTACTTTCGCAAACTACCAACATCGCAAACACTGTCGATGATGTGCGAATGTGCTTGTGTGCGTGCGTATGTGTATGCTAAAAAATTACCCACTGATGAAATTGAACCAACATGAGGCCTTAAGGAAAGCTACTGATCACGTTGTCCCACTTATTCAGTGTGTACCCTCCGGCCACTTCTCTAACTTGCATCGCAGATGTACCTACAGATAGTTTCAAGTGCTATTGAGAGGTATGGCAATATTGCTTCTATCAAGTTTAACGGCGTTAATATCCTTGCTTCAATAATCACTCAATTAGGAAGTAGTTAAAGTAAATTATAAAGTGATTCTCGACTGGAACCTTTCACAGTCAGGAGGTTATTGCACATCCCTAGTTCGCATTATCCAACCAAACTTTGTCTAGATTGAGGTGTTCAGTTCGGCTTGCATTTAAAATGGATAAAAGTTGTGGCAGTCACCTGATGCATATTCTCGTACGATCTAATCACTGTCACATTTTACTGCAACACTCAGTTTTCCGGGGGAGGGAAGAGAAAATGTTTGTGCGTCGTAACACAACTAGAGTTGATTTTCCACCTGTGGCGTAAGTGATAATAAAGACGATTTGTGGGAGTTCGGTATTCATATTGATGGCTACCTTAAAAGGCTCCACCAAGTCACTAGAAAAATGCATTGCGACTAAGTTTTGCATAGATATGTGGCGATTAATAGGCAAGCTATTTTGGCAGCACCTGACACCACCGTCTCCACGGTGAGAGGCTGAGTCACAAATCGGGTGCATTTGAGAGGGGTCGGATATGATGTGGTTCACTTTCACCTGCCAAGAGGTGGGAGTGTGGGTGGGGGGGATTGCATCTAGGAGGGGCTGTCACCTCAAATAAATTCCACCTCCCTTCCATTGCTCCCTTTTCCAGTCCAGAGCATAGCAACTGCTGAGAACTACAAGCACCTGTCTCCGAGGCCGTGCAAGTATCGCACCAAGGAACACCGCAACCGAGTGTCGCTCAAACGCTGATTGGTCACCTCTCTGCGCCACCTATCCCACCCAATGTTTCGTTGTGACCTACTCGCCTTTTTATCACAAAATGGTACGCCTGTATTCACCATAAATTATCCCTCAGTTAAGCCACCGAATACTACCATCCGTTTAGCCATCATTTGCGACATTTTATTTCACGCCATGTCTTAGAAAGTTCGGCACACAAATTGGCCAGAGTAATTCTTTAAAAAATAGCTATATTAGATGTGACATCTCAAGAGAGCACCGAGACCGTTTTAGTCAGAATAAGGGTTCAAATTGGTTCGTTAGTGTTTGCATCATCTCCAATTCAAAATACCTCTACTGCACTGCTCCTTTTTACGGAGATTCTAAAGTCCCCACAAACGTGTCCTCCAACAGTCGCCCTGAAACGCCCCAAAGCATCCCAACAAAATCTCATTTCATGATAACTCAAGTGGAATTTATAGCCTCTTCCCATAACATAAAGTGCTAGAGTTTTGCTGTATTCTTCTTTAACATTAATATTTTTGGCTTTATAAGAGAAATTCGGCATTCATTTAAGTAATTATTTGTTTACTATAGGTCAATACAATGTGACCTCAGGTCATCAACTGCGTGACGATTGAAACTCATTTCAATAGTCATGTGGGAGCGACTGATAATACTGCCTAGAGAGAGGATTTCACACTTGCTGAATTAACCTAAACGATCCCTTTCTAATGTCAGAGGAATCATAGAACGCAGAACATGATCACCTTATTGGAGAGTGGGGTAGACTTACCGACATGTCAAGGGCTTGTTCACCGGACAAAGGAGCTGCAGCGGTGGCACCAGCAGTTGCTGTGCCGGTTCCACCCACCTCAATTCTGCCCTGTCCAGCAGCAGCAGCTGCAAGCAGTTGAGTAACGAAGTTCTTTGCTGAATTCGCATCCATCATTATTGCTGTTGTGACTTTTGGTGTAGCAGTAGTAACGGTGGTAGCGGTAGTCGTGGTAGCAGTACTCTCAGCGCCATGCTGCTGTCCTTTCAGGGCCTCCATAAGACCGTTGACACTGCACACCATAGCGGTCTGTGAGCGAGTTATCGAGGAGGAAGGGATGGGTGGGATGGGGCTAATGTTTACATCACCGTTAGCCTCCGGCTCCCTTTCCATTTTCATCCGCTTGCAAACTTGCTCTACCAGATCCTCCCCCTCTCCGTTCATGGCCAAAGCAGCCGCTGGCAATTTGCCCTAATTAAGGGAACCAAAAATAATTTATTCTTATCAAGAACTAGGCGTGGTTCAGCCTACCCATTGCCTTGAAAGTGGAATCAAGAATGAAAAGTAGTGGCAGGAGTTAGTTGTGAGTTTGCCCATTTACTATGGTGGGAGGTGATACGCTTCTTAAACTACTTATCCGCCTCTGCTCAGCTATTGGGGACGGGAACGTGCATCGCACTCAAGTCTCATTGGCTACGCCGGTAACTCAGGCGTCAGCGCACACCCACACCCCGAAAGCGTACTCAACCAATCAACATCGTAACTCAATGCCCGAGCCTTCATGTGGAATTTTAGCTATTAGACCGCAATTATACAAGCTAGGAAATTATGAAAGAAAGATGCGTGCTCCAGATTTACAGAAGTTTTGTGCACTGATCTTAAGCTGTGATTAGGAGAGCATAATTAACAAGGGGGTAACTTGTCCTCCGAGCTCAAAGACAGGAATTAAACAGAAGACGAGTCTAGGGCAAAGTGAGTGTGGGTGTATGTGTGCGCGTTTAAGCTAAAGCATGTAGTGTAGTAGTGGTGGCGGTTGCGTCTGAGTGGTGTGAGTTGTTTGGTGGAGTGGACGCACGGTGCGGAATGCGAGTAAGAGGCGAGTAGGAGATCGATAGCACCTCCTGCTTGCCCAACCACGTGTGTCCGTCTCTCTCTTCCTCTCTCTGTGTTTTGGTGTATTTTTTCCCGTATCTGTGCTGTATTTTACTGCGTGCTAGCGGGCGGGACAGGTGAATTCCTTGAGAAAGCAGATGCATTGCATCGGTGTGCAGTGCGCATGAGTCAGGCAGGCTTAGAAGCCATCCCCACCCCGACCTTCCTCTAGCGCCATAGAGACGGGAACTCTTGTCGGTTGCTGGGGCGCTCACTGCCCCACGTGACGATGAATAGGTAAACAGACCACAGAGCAGGACCGTTGCTCTGTCTACTGATGAGGCAGGTGCAATCGCAAATGTTGTATCACATTAGGTGACGTCCCCGCGATCTCCACCAACCAGTTTATAAATCAGATCAAGAAAAAACATACAATTATTTATCAATAAAATTCGGTGCCTAATATTTTCTCGTATAAAACTACAGGAGAGAGCTCGAAATTGGTAATAAAGGAGCTATTTAAACCACTCTGATAAATGAAGGCAAAATTTCCATTCACTAGGAATTCCATCAGAACTTAGTTTTGCAAATGAACATTTACCTACTCCTTATTGTACAGTAAAATGCAAGCCGATCATTATTTGTGCAAACCCCTTTAAATTTGGTTCTGTCATGAGCACATGAATTAGCAAATTTCAAGAGCAAAATCTGGTTTACCAAACAAAGAAAACTGAATCGCATGCGTTTTGAGACATGACCTCATTCAAGATGTGCAAAATTAACTGAATTTCATGGATGCTAAACAAAGATGAAAATGTCAGTTAGTGTTTGAGTATGAACACTATATTGGTATGCTTAAAATTTTGGACAATGGCAAGTATATTTTTAAGTGGTCTCTGCTTCAAGCACCCTAACTGTATGAGTGTGTATGTGCGTTAAATTTTGAAATTTATGTAAGTTCGTTTGCACCGGTGAATTATCGTACGCTTGCACTAGCAAGGAGGCAAGCGGACGGCCAATTAAGGACGACGGAAATCACCGCAGCTCACAGGGATTACCTAGCCATGGGCATCTCTTTTCCCTATCGCTCCCTCCCCCCCCCCCCCCCACCCCAACCCATCGTGTATGAACGACATAGGCACGCGGTCCTGCTGCTACCACGGCATAGTCTGGCTAGAGCGTTTGCTCGGCCACTCGGTGACGTGCGCACGTGCCTCCATCAGTACGATGCGCGTCGCATGCACCGACGCACTTCGCCCGAGCATCAACACACGCACACTTGTATGGGGATGATGGTGACGATGCTGGGAGAATGAGGGGAGGCAACATGGGTACAGTTGCCGCCAGAGAGCTGTGTCCGGGCGAGTGCGTGTGCATGTGTGTGTTTGTGTGCTACGAGGACGCAGGATCGATAAACTGGATGCAAGATTTCGCGCTCGCCAGATCGTCCGCTCTCACGCACGCACGCAGGCAGACGCCCACCTAGCAAACTCTGTCCCATGTGTATGTGGGTGCAAGTTTGTGTGGTGCCACAGGGATGAGGGAAATGGGTGATGAATAGCTGTGTGCCTGTGTGCATGTTTGGGCACAAACACTTGGAGTGGGTGGGTGGTAGATAGGCGTGTGTGATGGACATAGCTCAGGCGCGGCCTTTGAAGATGAAAATGGTTTTGGAGTGGGGTAGGGGGAGGGGGTGGTAGGGAGGCGATATAATTAATGACCCAGCAACATGGAAAATGCCTCTGAAACAGTTGCTCTTTCGCGAGCTACTGGCCCGCTCTGATTATTCCATCGCCATAAGAATACGTCTCATCTCTTCCCCGACACCAAGTACTTAGCTCTTATATCATACCGAGCCTCCATTCTTCTAACCCTAGTTCTAATGAGATAGTTATCGAATATGTATGTGCATTAGACATGGTTTGTAGACTGAGTGGTTCAGCAATTACCAATGAAGTAGAGATGCCAAGAGGGGAATATTTTTGCTTGGACATGTCTGGTCGAACGTGACCAAGAAAAAGGAGCAAGAACAGGATGATTTGAAGGATATGGAGTGCTCACGCGTGGGGCAGAAGAGCAGGAGTAGCTGCGACAATCTTAAAGACCGGAAGTAGTTAGCCACGAGAGGCGCTAATTGTCCTCCTTTCCAGCTTTGAGTACTTACTCGGTAGACGAGTATACCTCCCTGCTCAATGAAAGATGCCACGTCTGAGGCGCATAGCCTCATCTCAGTTTGCCATACACATTTGACTGCTTCATACGAAGCTGCATCTTGTATGTGGTGATCTGACCTTGTACTCCCATTCGGTTCCCAGATGACCCGTGATTTTTGTCTTAAACTGAATTTAACTGCTGTGGCAGTAGATGAATACGTCTAAAGGTGCTGTGTGCTTAGGATTGCTATCAAAACACATTTCATTCATCCACTTATCCAAAGTTTATTGCCTTGATTAAATAGTGATGGCTAATGAAGTGCTGCGGATCGGGTTGACGAGTGGTACCTCCTCCATGCTACCGATCGCTTGTGACGCGGAGATGCACGAGCTCCACAATGATTAACAAAGTCTTTTACAAGTATAGTAACGGTGGTGATGACAAATATGATGGTTGTGATAGGTATACGTGCATACACGTGCACGCACTCACACATCACCGAGTTTAGTCCAAATGAGAGTCTGTTTACACTACGAGCACTCTCATCTCATCCGGTGTATGTATATGCGTGCGCATGCACATACGTGCGTGCGTACGTACGTGCGCATTTGTGCTATTGCGTGTGGTGGCCGAAGTCGCGACCACTTGTGGGTGCACTCGCACGCATTCGGGCATACTTTCATAGGCGCATGCATACTTTGTGCATGACTGAAGATTGGAACAGACTAGTGTCCATTTAGCTATGAAAATTGAGAATGTTGGACTCGTGGACACGCGCACGGACGCGTGCGGACGTGCGCCCACCCTCCAACTCGTGCATGCTGCCATCATGTGATTACAGTTTATATAATCAAAGGCCTGCCACCACCCCAACCCCGCTTGGCTGCCTGCTGCCTTCACGAGCACCAGCACTCAGGCCCACGGCCCTGCGACAACACATAAACATATGACTTCTACGCGTCCCGAGTTAGCACAGCCAATGAGTTGACTTACCACGTTCAGCACCGCTGTTACAACTGCAGCCCAGGGGTAACTGCATCACAAAGTTTGGGCTTGGAAAATGAGAAGTCATGCATTGCAATTCTCTCAACTATTTGACAGAGGCGGTATTATAGAGACAACATAATCACAATGTGTCTTCTTCCCAAATAGTCGAAGCTTACCGACTCTAATGAAGCTATTTGCTCACAAAAGCCTAAAGCATGTGTCAAAATTTCAAGCAATAGTTGGTTAAATGGATATTGGATGCATTAGAAACGCTTTAGCTCAATCTCATCTACTATCCCTATTTGGAAAAAAAACCATTTTTCCAAAATTAATTTAGTACCTTGCTTGATTTGTTTAGAGGGAGCAGTAGGTAACGATTCCTTTCAAAACTTACACTATATTGGAAGTCACCACTGAAGTTGTACGGAGCATAGACAGCGTCAGACAATAAGCATTCAAATTCAGAGAACTCAGAGAGTAATGACGCTGAAGTAAACAAACATTTATGCCAAAGACAGCTAGTTGTGACAAATTTTCTGTTACTGCACGTTGTACTCTATAAACCTCAATCCACAACTTTTGGATTGACTCCAATCCCAAAGTACTCAAATCGGTTGTTGTACTCCTTCGTTGATTAGATCATAATTATCTTATACAATTTTGACTCCTAAGGCTTTAATTCATTATTAAAGATTGTGTTAATATGGTTGGGGTTATAAAAATGACTTTTATCTCGTCAGATGGAAAATGCACACACAAATTTGAGAAATTGTATATCGAAAGACCATGGCTGTACCAGTTGGGTCAAAGAGCGTTAAGTGCTGGGAATGCGGTGGGCGGTGTGCAGCTCAAGCTAAATCCGAAAGCGCCTCCGGGACCGTATGCGCTAGCGGTCCAACTGACAGAGGCTAAAGGTGGACTTTGCGCTCATGGAGCAAAAGAAGTGGAGAGAGAGTAGCAGGAGCGAGGAATTTCCAAAAAACCACTTGCACTCATACACACACATAAAGACATCTCTATGAATGAATGTGGCGCGGCTGTCACCATTAGGTGCAGACGAAATCTCCTAACTCAGAGGTTGGGGAGAGTTTAATAATGAAACGCAGAATCAGACGAGAAAAGAGAGCATGCCCTTAAACTATTTGCCTATTCGCATAACTGCGGGGGGGAGGGCATTCACTTACTAACCCAACTCTCTCCCTCTGTCCTTGGTGGTGTTATTTTAAACATTCTTAACTTATGTCGAGTTGACTGAGCAGGCTTAAGTAAACAAACTCCTCCGTCCGCATTGATTTTAACCACCTGGCTATGAAACTTGAGCCGCTCCACGGTGATCACGGGATGCTAATTAACCCTATTAATCGTTGCCTGAGTAGAATTTACCTACCAATCAGAGGTAAGAGCGAAAAACTTCTCATGAGCGTGTGCGTGAGCAGGAGGCGGGTGGATGCTTATTGGTGTATGGGTGAGATGTGCGAGTATGCGTCCACGGATGAGAGGATCGCCTCCCTCTGTCAGTCGCGGCCACAGACGGAGCCTTGGAGCCGTGACTATAACATGAGTCATCAGGTGGGTGACGGGAGTACGCGCTAGCGCACACACCGCTCACCACGACAGTGCCGTTTAAAGGGGGACGAGGAGGAGGAGGAGGGGCGGCAAGAGTGAATTAGATGGGCCTACTGGTGGAGGCATGTGACTTGAGTGAACAAAGCTATTCCCTGCCCCCCTCGCATTCGTTCTTCCAGGTGGTAAATATGAGCCTCAGATGGAATATTTTAATTCTGTGGGGTTGCTCTTAGAGTCTAGCGCATATCGGAACATCAAACGATCGAATGGTTTACGATTGAATCACTGCTACAGCTAGACTGCGTTCAGTCACATCGCAGTGAAACACGTCAGTGAGTGAGTGAGCAGAAAATTATCTTTCGGCACTACACTGTGGTGCTTATGAGGTAAAATTACCCATCTGCTGCACATACGTCCACTTCTGGAGGCACTTGTCTATGCAATGTGCTCACCACCAGTTTTCCAAAAATCAAAACACCGCTGCAGAGTCTTAGGCTCAGCATAAGCATTTCAGCTGAGGCCCCCAAAAATGATAATAAGATTGGGCAATCAAAAAGTAAGTCTATTATAGACACAGTGCAGACTTTTAATCACTTGGCCTCATCTGAGAATCGATTCTGCTTCTTGGCAAGCACATAATGATGGAATCGTAATTCGGGGATAAACAACTCAGATTTATGCAATGAGAACAAATTCACACCTTTATTTAGAGCATTCGTGCATATTTTAAGGACGAAGTTTTTTTAACCAAATAGAGTCATTGATGAGCATTTAGCAACAGATAAATATAAATAGTCATAACTATTGGCCATTAAACGAAATCAATTTTAAATGCAGAGGATAACTAGGATTAAGTGAAAGATTCTCATTAATGTGAGCTTATGTGAGAAAGAAAGACTTCGACTGCACTTATTTGAAAAACATCCCAAGCGAGTATTTCAGGTGACATCATTCAACCCCAATTGATCCATGACAGACTCCAGCAGATTTCATCAGGGGATGCATAAATTAAAGACATGGGGGTCTTCTTAGAGACCCTAGATGGAACTCGACCTCGCAGCACTCGATTGTGCAAAAATTATCAAAATATGAATAATGTATAAATACCAGGTGAAATCGAATTGGCCAAACACAAATTAAGGATAAATGCTTTTTGTACGGAACACGAAGAACAAATAACAGGCGCCTCAGAAGGCCAACTAGACAGCGAAATGGGCAGCGATGTATTTCATAAAAATAACACGTAACAGAAAAATTTAACTAAAGCAGTTTATGCGTTATCAAGTCAATGGTGGTGTAATTTTTTTGACAAAAAAACTCATGGAAAACCGAGCAAATAATTATAAATCAACAATTTTTACACTGTAATTTGAGAGATGAAATAATTTTAGGGTACCAAGAGATTTTAGTATCTACCATAAACTTATACAAATTTAATGAAAAATTGAGTTGCAGACGCTTTGACTAATGATGCTGAGATAAAAAAACATAATGGAAAGTTCCGACTTACGGGTGTGGTGGCTTTTCGCCGGCGCGAGCCCTGAACGGTGTTTGTCCTCTCTGGAATTGTAGGACCCGGGTCGGTCTGAGCCGTAAGCCGGGAGGGAGCACTACCAACCGCTGAAGTAATGGTAGGAGGAGATGATGACTGTGGTGGTAGCGCAGCAGCTATTGAAACTGGGGAATTGGAGGGGCAATTTGAGGATGGAGGCTGCAAATGCGGTGGACTGGTCAAGCCCACTCGAAGACTGCCGACAGTGGTCGACGGAGAGATAGTGAGAGGAAGTGTCATGGTTGTTGCTGGTGCTGAATCCGAGGTTATTATTGCATAACGAGATTCCACGAATTTGTATGACGCAGGCTAAAATTGAAATTTATAACAAATTTCATCTTCAGTCAAATGGTTTTATGCAGTATATAAACTAAAAATGAATGTTACCTCAAAGTTAAAGTGATAAAGCTTCATGTGCTCATCAAGCAGATTTCTTTCAGTCGAAGAGCTACCACAATGAGGGCATGAAAGCAGCAAAATTGACTCGATCGAGGAATGATGATTTTTAATGTGTTCTCTTAGAGTTGAGAGAAGCAATGTAGAAAAATCACACGATGAACAACGAAGCACATGGACATAATTACTTGGAGTGCTAGGAGTTCTTGTTAATATAATGGAAACAGGCCGCCCAGTGCTATTTGTATCAGATTCACTTTTCAAAATACAAGGAGAAGCCTCGACATTGGTCAATTTGAAGTTTGCCATATTGAAACTGAATGTAGAAGACATCAATGATTTGGGGTCAGCACAATGTAGGGTCTCCATCAGAAGGTGACACCAGTGATAGTCACAAGAACCATAAAATCATTAATATAAACTGGGCGCGCCAAGACCAACTCTAGTTGTCGAGATACAAATAAATTACGTGAAAAATTTAAACAAAACTTAAGGTCTAAAAAAATAAAGCATATTTACTATTAAAACTATATAATCAAGTATTGTTAAGTTAAAAACATATTTGCCTACACTTTATATCAGAAAATACGCTAATGTGAATGCTATGCTTGCAGTTTCAACAATATTGATTTCATCAGAATAAAAAACAAGTAGCCCAGACGTATGCCCTGAAAGTAAATTAAAAATTTAAGCAAACAAGTGTTTCCATTATAGCCAAAGATGATGAAATGAAGCTCACATGAAATTCTGCACATGACCTAAAGTGGAAACCACCATCGCAGATTTTTTATCATTTTATTTTTTGGTAGGCAACTAAAGCTTAAGATTACAAAAAGAATATTTGTTTGCCAGTAGTAAATATGAAGTAGGTCTCTTATAAAAACAACTAGATGTTGTTAGACAGAGTAAGATGATCAAACGTTTAATGCCCAGAAATAAGTGAGAATGGAACTTTAAGCACTAATTAAGAAATGAACTTTATCATTCATATATTGTTTTGTTTTATTACATGATTGTTGGCGCGCATTTTCTGAGGTAACCCTGTCTTCTTTTGTCGTAGTTTTTGGCTGTTTGAGGATGGACGGGGATGGTAGAGGCGGTTTATCAGGCTAGGAAATAGTTTCGACTCACATCTTGCTCTGTTTCATGTGTTTTTTGATGTTTTTTGCCTGTGAAAAATACTTGCCAGCAGTGAATTTTTCATTTACGTGGCATTTTTAATCCAGTTGATGAAATATTGTTCATACATGCTGAAATTTCAGATTATTTGGGACGCTTAAAATTATTCCAGCCACTGCAGCAGGCCAAACGTGACAATCATCTCCAGTGGGATGAATATTTCATGGCTCTCGCCTTCCTCTCCGCTATGCGGAGCAAAGATCCTGTCACTCAGGTATGTACTACTTCATTGCACTGCTCAGTCTTCAACGTGGGAGATCTTCGCTTCTAGCGTGCCTTTTTTCCTGCTATTTTAAAGTCAACCACTTGCAATACTCATGTTGGATATTTTTATGGATAATATGGTTGTAGGATTTTCTTGTGCAGAAGTTAGGAGGCTTAAATGTATTGTAATTGTGGAACTGATAACCATTTGATGTATTTTTATTCTCTTCAGGTTGGGGCTTGTATTGTCGACAGCGATAACAAAATTGTCTCCATGGGTTATAATGGAATGCCTATTGGGCTATCGGATGACGAATTGCCGTGGACAAAGAGGCAGGAAGATCCATTGCAAAACAAAAATTTCTATGGCACGTCCTAACCGCACTGTATTTTATCCATGTGTATAACATCTTTCTCGTTCCACAATTTGTCCACCATGCTATTTTATGACCATTATACCGTTTTGCATCTAGTTTGCCACGCAGAACTGAATGCCGTGCTTAACAAGAACACTCTAAGTATCAAAGGGTGCAAAATCTACCTCACTCTCTTCCCCTGTCACGAATGCGCCAAAGTTATGATTCAGTCGGGTATTAGAGAAGTTATTTACTTTGACGAGAAGAGGGCTGGCACCCCATCCTACGATGCTTCAAAAATCATGTTTTTGAAAGCGAACGTGAAACTGACGTAAGTCACCGATTTCTTGCATCATGCGCAGAATTTCAACCACCTATTTTAAAACAGCTGTTTTTGTTACAGTCCTTTCAAACGAACCGATCGGAAGATTATAATCGATCTCAGTTGAATGTTACTACATTTCACAGGGATCTGAAGTTTATATTGCTTGTAGTTGGTATGCAACGGTAATACGTAGGCTTTACTCCTCCGTCGAGATGGCAATAAAGCCAGCTGTTTTATACTTGATGCGTCTTCTGAATCCCAGCTATCCTCCTGGCATTCCGAAGGATCCCATTAACAATTTTCACTCATTCCCAATATCACAGGCCTAATTTGTGATGCAATTAAACCGTGCAACTCTTAGGAATCTACCGATGGAGTCGGATTTCGTGTTTGAAATCAGATGGTTGAAACTTATCGTAGCCGCGACAATTTAAAACAGTTTTGGGACCAAACTTCCATATTTAGATGCATCCCGGTTTCAGGATGGTTAGTCCACCCATCATCTTTTATTTGGTTGAGATAATGAATTTGACCCCATTCGAGAATAACAATACTGATGCGTAGCCTTTGTGAGGTATGAGGCAACGTAGACTTGTTTCGCAATGCGCCACCATTACCTAAATGGCGTCCCACCCCCATCAAGAATAGTGGCAATCGTAAGTTGATCTTGAAGCAACAAACTAGAGAGTAATGCACAATTCCGTGCAATAGCTGAGTCGCTAATCATCTCTAAAATCGGTTACCGTCATCACCCACTCGGACGTGTTTTTGTGAATGTTTGGGGAGCCAGATGTGCTCGAAGTAAATGCTCAATCCTCGAAAAAACCATTACTTGGAAGCCCATTTTACGTCTTATATTCAGGGGGGATGTCCGCGTAACTTCGACTCAAAAATAACAGTTTAGAGGGGTAAAATTGACCAATATTGAATTGTACGATATTTGTTGATTTGAATATCTTGACCAAGTGACATACTGAATGCAAAGCAACACATTAAACCTACACCCAGATGGATAAATCGAGTCGGTCTTCAAATGAAGAACGCGACCAGCCTTCTAAATTCGATTTCAGGCTGTAAAAAAGGAGATGATACTTCTTGATCACTCATGGGATAGTCCAAAACTCTCCGGGATTGCTCGTGCGATGGCTCGGAGCTTGTATGGATTGGAAAAGTGCGATTGCTTCTTCGCATTATAAAGCATAAATACACACTAGTTCATCGATACTCCTAATTGTGCCTCTCACCATTTACCTCTTGTTTTGAATGCGCATAAAATGTACCTTGGAATTTGATTCTAAGTTGCCTACTCTGTAACTTTGAGCACGTCTCCTGACCTGGAAAGCATTTGGAGAGGGTCCGATGTGAGATGGCAGAAAGTGCAAGCCAGGAGTATCTTAAACATATGGTTCTAGTGAATCCTCTAATGATGCATCATCTTCAGGAAAACACTCCAGCCTCGATCACGAAGAATCCCGTGCTACCATTAAGTAATTTGAGATTAATGTGCCAAGAACAATTATCCTTTATACATGCATTGACTGGAGAGCGAAAGAGCCAGGAGAATGGGTGTCGGATGTCATGCGTTAGCGGATGCCAATAAGCCTCGAAGACCGCCTATTCCTTTCTCACTTCTTCAATCTTCTTGAGTGAGAAGTAACTTTTAAATTCCAACTCTGAACTGAGCAATAATTCACGCTTGCAAGACCACGCTTTGCATACGGTGGACAAAAGACGCGGGTGTTTTTATGGCCGCAAAAATGACGGCTGAAACTTGACTTCTCGCTGCAATTTCATTGCGTGCAACTAAAACTTGGCCTAGTAGCACTCGGAATCAGCCAACCAGTAGGAACAGTCCCACCCCTAAAGCTACAGGACAACAATAATGACCCTGCATCGACGGCCACCCAACCTATCATCTACACGACCATGCTCCCATGCGTATAGCAGACTACAGACCCAATTGTTCACTTTCAATCTCTCGTCGAAGATCGAACACCTACGCCAGAGATATACTCGACACCAGACAATTCGAACGTGCACAACGATGCCTTCTTCTTCAAAGACGGTCAAAAATATCCCTAGTCCTATAAGACAACGCATGACCACATACCACCGCAAAACTTGCCCGTGAGACGATTTGTACTCTAAAATGAGGGACAAGGGCTGGGTCATTGTCTTCCTCATCCTCCGTACTCTCTTAATGATATTCCTCCAAGTGACCATCACATCTCCTCCGTACTAGACCATTACGCACGAAACCGAGCAGAATGCTGATAGATGGATGTGAGGTAGGGAGATGGAGTAAGCTAGGGCTAGGTTATTTGCTTCTACAATTAAAGATGCAAGTTTAAAGCTTGTGTTTCGGTGGGAAGAGGAGTAAAGTTAGTAATGGTTATTATTCCAACAAAAAAATATTTTAAGGAGCTTTCTGTGCTTATCTAAGTCTTAGCACAAAAACCATTTTAGCATCTTAGGGTTTCAAACATGATCGTCAAATTCTAAGTTGAAAAATGCAATATATTAAATGATTTACAGGAAAATTTCATAAGCACACAAACCTCAAACAACACTGAAGCAGAAATTCGGTTCTCCAGTGTAAAAATCAAAGCCACTTTCCACCTTCAAAGCACAGGACTGTTTCTGCGACCCCAGTTTATCGCTTAGGCCGGGATTTAGAAAGACGACTCCTGGGTGAGGACCAGCCTTACACCACTCCACTTCCTTGTTCACTTCAATGGGTCTACTGGGTCCCCCTACCACATGCCACATCTCGTCAGCTATGCGCCACTCCGCCCACAGCGCCACCGCATTGACTGATGACCCGTCGGCAGTGGAGAGTGTAAGGGTTTGAGTTTGAACGACCTTAGCGCCAAGAGTGTTCGGTGCCTCGGGGCCGTGAGCAGAGAAGGTGGGTGGATCGAGTAGGGATATCTCGAAAACAGAGCTCGGAAGCGACCGTGCCTTACCCGCGTACTGCCACAGAGGCTGCGGTTCTACTGGCGCATCGGTGGCCGCTGCAGCCGACAAAATCATTTTATCGAAGAGGCGTAAATCGAAGCCCTCGCAGTCAGCTCCAACAGGCGCGCGGATCTTCCAGAGGTGTTCGAAATCCATGGCTACTGCGCAGATACGCAGATGTGTGGGTGCCATCAGCCAACAAGAGTGGCGAGGCAATCGCTCCTTAATTTGCCCAAAAACGTACCAAAATTTAATGGAATTCCAAGGAAGCAGGGCAGTTATCACAAAGGGTTCCGATATTACGCATATTTCCACGGGTGTAGGGGATTTTTCAACAAAGCTTTCGAGAGAATCCAGTAGATTGTCTACATTCTCCTCGAGCCTGATATCGGAATGAGCCTTGCGGTACAGAGGGTCCATTATTTTTAAAGACATCGGCGAGGAGTCCAAATGGAATATTGTAGCTTTACTAAGGGGAAGGGATTGGTGGACCTGAAGTGGGATATGAGAGGCATCGGAGACGATGACGAGCGCTATAGAAGGTGTCTGGAGAGCAGATACGTGGTCGATGACGAATTTGGTGAGGCGAAGAGAGTCCTCTCGGAAGTGAGGATGGTTGAGTTGGGCAAAGCGGGAGCGAGGCCAGGCGACGTGGGTGAGGCAATGACAGAAGGGCAGATGCTGTTCGGTGAGAGGGGGCGAAGAGGAAGCGCGGTGGAGGTCCAGGTGTATGGAGAAGGCGTCGTGAGAGAAGTCGACGCAAAGCGCTTCACCAGCGGAGAGGGCGAGGGGACAGCAACGGGGAAAGTAAACTGCCTGCATCCAGTGTTCACGCCATGCTGGAGTCGCACGCGGGTCGCCAGGCCTAGCCCAGGGCTCTGCGCCCACTGGAGCCATGGTGATAGCTGGAACGTGATCGGATGGCTCCATTTGCAGCTCCCACCACACTATCACAGCGTGCGCTAAGCCGCCACGGCAAGCTGTTATTGGGTTCCCATCCACTTCTGGTAGGCAAGTGAGATTAAAATGCGATCCAATACTTTTAGTATACAGCATAGAAATGGCAAAAACGATTTAAATAAACCAATTTTATGGGAAATATTATGACCAAAATATCAGCCGAGCGGTATGATTAGACTTCATGCAGGTGAGATATTGGTAAGCACTCACAAAGCAGCAATATGCATTGTTTTCAACATAAATTCATTCTGATCAAACAGGAAGCCAAAACTGAACAATTTTACTACCTTGAATGGTTTGGACGGATTAATTTACAGAAAACGGCATATTTTATAACGAGAGAAATCGAAAATTCCAACACTTCGGCAAACTTTGGTACGATGAGTATGCTTTTATTTGATAATTTTTGAAAGTAACTCAACAGGTCTGCAACTGTCCTACTGACTTGTTAGAGCACTGAGCGATTTTGTTGTGATTTCCAAGCTAAACGCACCTATTCATAATCACGCCTCTACTTCAGTTAATGCAATGATAAAATAGTTTGCAACGTAAACTCAATAAGGTCCTTAACATGTGCAAAGGAGGAGCATCACGATGGAAGAAATTACACTAAAAGCAACAAATAGAATTTAAAAGTGCCCACTGCTTTTGTGTACAATAATGTGCGACCAGAAATGGTGGTCAGAAATCATTTTTCTAACTATAACTTTAAAGTAAAAACGAAATGGAAATAAATGATAAGAAATTAAAATTACAGACCTAATCAAACCCAAAAGACAATTGTTTCAGCTACCAAGCTCTCAAAAAAAATTGGCATAAAGAGAAAATTAAAAGAGGAGCCCAGTTACCAGTAATCCGTTTCACCTCCTCAAGCTTTAGATTGGAAGAATATGGAGCGAAGTTAAATTCATGGAACATTAGGGGGCTCTCAAGGAGGCACCGGACAGCACCGCGATCCTCATCGCTTGTGATAATCTCGTCGTGAACAAATTTGAGACGCGATACCTGGAGATCGAAAACGACAGGTGAACCGTGACAGCGACGCATTTCCACCGAGGGGAAGGACAAGTCACCTCCGAATGGTTCGATTTGATTGTGAGACCAGAGGAACGGTGACTCTACGATCTAGCACAAAATCAAACAGCTGAGTAAATGATGCATACCTGTAGATACATTTTGGCCTTGCAGGGAATGAGGATAGCATCCGGCGTAAGAAGATTATCAGCAGCATGAAGATATACCTTCAGAGCGCCTTCTCCAATAAGTTCTGTGTCAAACAGCTCCGCAACAAGAACGTTGGCTTTGCGTGGCATATCCTCACCCACCACCAGATCTGTGGAGTGTTTGTGAATCAGCTTCACGCGTTCTTGTAACCCGTTGGCTTGCAGGATGCGTTGAGCGCAAGTGGCAACCGGACCAAAGGCTTCACAGGCAATGACCGAGTCGGCACCGACTCGCGCTGCCATCATCGAGAGAAGACCAGTTCCACTGCCGATGTCCAGCACGTGCACCTCCCGTCCAGCGGCCTTCATGCTCGTAATAACGTGGCGCAAGGCCTCGTAGTAGCGTTGGTTGCGATCGCGGTCGTGTAGCATATCAGCGTAGGCAGATTGGGCAACCTCTTGCTCAAAATCATAATCTTCACCCACATTATCCCACTGCACCATGCCAGTAGTCGGGTTGAAGCGAGGAATGAAGGTGCTGAGGGCATGGCGAGGAGAGCTTTTCATGCATGTGGCCATCTTAATTCGTGACAGAAGACGCATGAAATTCCGCATTGTTATGCCATTTGCAGACACGCCAAGATAGATGGAGAATGGTCCACCAGCAGTATGATTAAAGAGTGGGAAAAAACCAATTTAATAAGCAGAGATGCCGTGGAAAACCAACAAACGCACTTCTATAAATTACTCATAACAAGGCATACAAGTGCAATGAGAGGACCGTTAAAAAGAAGCATAAAACCACCAATAAATTATTCTTGTGAGCATAAAGTATGTTCTAAAAACAGAAAAAATTACACCACGAAGCCCGTGTTAAATAATCTAGACGTCAGAACTGTTCCCGAAAAATTGGAGGCGCACAGACTTCGATTGTGAAACCATGGTAAGCATCCAAAATAACCATAAAGCCGGATTTTTAAACAGCAAAAATGAATCCAGCCAGAAAAATGCAAAGCAAGACCTAGACTGATTTCTTCCTCGCAATAAATAAACACCACAGCGTTGGTGATTATCAGTTTAACCCCTGAATTGCGAGGCCTTAACCGACCCGCCCGATAGGGCAGCACGATTAAAGCGCTTACTAACAAAATAAGGGATAGAGTAGAGTCCTTCCTCAAAAATGTTAAAGTTACAAACATTCTTAAGGTATAACTTTGCAAGTTTCAGCGGGATTTCTAAAAATTAAAGATAAACACGCAAATTGTTGCTAGGATGTGCTATAATTTGATGCAAGTGCCAAACGATCAAATGATGACAGGTTGAAAGCTTGCCTATGGGGACACGAGAACAAGCATTCTACAACTAATTCATTTTATAAAAATTCCTTTCCTTTGTTCTTGTGCACCCTTTTCCAAATGTAAAATTAATTTGAACCTAGATTTACGAGGATATTTACATCAGCTCTTCACTACACTTCTACTAACATATGTGGGCATCACTCAGGGTTTTCCTTTATGTCATATTAAGCCACATCATTATGGGGGAAAATCTATTTTGAACATACCAGGAGACTGTCGGCACGACTGGGGTGCCGTTCCTCTGAACGGAAAACCAACCTACGAAGGCTGAACGGGCCGTGTAGATAAGCATAACATCATTCCTATAGCTGGCTTATACAGCCATGTGACATTTAACAAAGTATTTATTATTCAATGGGTTAGGAAATCAAAATGGGACCTGATTAACCTTAGAGCGAAAATGAAGATGCATGGTAAACAAGGTAAGTATTTCAAAGGTGGAAAAACTTATATTTAGGATGAGGAGGACAAACTACTCACTAATAGTGTACTCATCTACAATCTAGGTCTAAATTGGCATCAAAAGAAATCATGCATCACTTACTGAAGAATTTACTGGTGTCCCATACTTCATTTGAACAAATGATACAGTTCAGCTTCCGAAACTGTTTATCTGATAAAATGGTTTTAAGAGATGAATTAAGTTCCGCCAATCAACCCTTTAATGTGATTCACGCCAGAAGTCAAAATAAAGGGGCCGAATTGCCAAACCACTACTATTCTTCTGGCCATTGGAGAACATTCCCCCACTGAGGAGCTCGAGGGCCAAATGTGCTTACAGCCCCTGACAAATGAAATCCATTTACAATACAAATGCAGCTGCGAGAACAATGGAAGTTTCTCAAGATTTGGGTTTTTTGACCGAGGATTAAACGTTTGTGAAACTAAATTTACTCTACTGTGTGTTCAAATTACCCCATTTTTACTCCGGATTTAAACCCATTTTAAAAAAACATTTACACAATATAGATGTTTTGAATTTCGATGCCTCTTAAAACCTCTTAAGAAACCCTAATTGTAAACCCCATTCAGAAACGGTATATATGGCCGTCTCAAGACATATACTAAGGCGATTTTTTTGACTCTTAAAAATACTTAATTGAATGCAAGCTCTATCACCAATCTACTTGACATCAATCTCGTTAAACTACATCTGTGTAAGGTCAGAAAAAGAAAAAAGAATTTATCTAAACGCACTTTACAGTAGGATTCAAATGCACTGTAGCCCTCTGGCTAGCGTTTCCAGAAGTTCTGGAACGCAGTGCCAAGATGCAATAAAGTACCATGTGAAACTAAGGGTCAAATCACAGACAGATGAATTCAATAATGACGAGGGGGAAATCCATGCCCAATAATTACGCCATCCTACAAATTGCTTGCTGCTCATTTACACTAGCACCCTTTAAGATGTAGTGAGGTGGCCAATTCGGTCCAGCGCAGGATCAGAAATTAAAAAATCTGAAGCAAATTAAGCCTCAAATTTCGTGAACGACGATGCGAGACTTCGAATGCAATAAACAAAGTCAGCCCTGACCCGTTATTGAGAAGTTCATCCTGATTAAAAGAGTGCAAACACAAAGATTGTTGTTAGGAGTGAATTACAACCAAAATCGAGATTTCTGAATGACCACCGGATTTTTCTCAACAAACATCTCATGCCCCCATAAAATGGAGTCGCACAAGGCGTGATCTTGAGCATGGCCATGCATTAGCCCCAAATTTTAGGCGCAAAGCTTCCTATTCGGTGTTTACAATTTGACAACCATTTATCGTTTCACTCTCGTTCATAATTTTTCATCACCACCACCATCACCTATACCAACAGAGCAACTTTTGTGAATCATTCCTTTTCAAATAATCAGATTTGCATACCCCAACAAAGAGAGCTATGACGAAAATAACGCTTAAAAACCCAGTACCTATTACTAATTGGGAAGCTAGATTAACAACATTTGAGTTGCATAGTCTAACATCATAGCATCAGCAAACCACCAACTTGCTCTGGCCTTCTCGAAGTGAATTTGTGTCCAAAATTCAACAATAGTGGCCATCATTGCCATAAGACAAAGTGGGTTCTCTTCCAGAAGAAAACTTAAAAATTATCCAGAAAAGTGTTTGATTATGACACGGTATAGAGGTAGAGCAACAAAAGGCTTTTTTTAGCTGAACCCGAGAGGCTGCACTAATATACCGATGCAGCAAGCAGTAAAGCGGAGTTTGACCGCCTCCCGCTCCCCCAAATTGACACATCGTTCTGAGCTTGCAGCAATTTTTACGGTCTCGCAACAGCCAGTATATGGCGTCTTGGCCACATCGCTTATCCCTTCTAGCAACAGCTAAATCGTAAAAAAAACCATTTTATCTGCACCAATTCTTGTATTATGCAACTATTCATATTTCTGTGTAAAACACTCCCTTGTTATGCCTGAATGAAGATCAGCCATAGGCCAAATGAGTGTCCTGATCAACAATTGTACTTTTACCAAAAGTAAATTCATAGGTCTAATTCAACCCGTGAAATGTGAAAAAAAAAACAATGTATTTTGAGACTTAAAAGTCTACTTTACATGTGGATACAAAAAGAACAACTGTGAATGAGTTTTGTGTGTGTGTGTGTGTGTGTGCGCAAAATCTGGATTATTTGGCGGGGCAGGGTAAAACCTCTTGCATAATCACCTGCTCGATTCTCCCCTTAAGGCAGAACAATGCCCTCGAGAACTCAGTGAAACATCTTACCGCCTCCACTCACCCACTCATTTGCAGTGGAAAAGTATAAGACCAAATTGAATTAAAGCCAAATCGAGTGAGCATGAAAACAACGAAATCGCATTTTGATTGAAATGGAGGAATGAAACCTCCGACGAAGGTACAATGGACTCCCTCAGATAACAAGATTCGCCTACTGCCCCGCTCACCGATGCAACTTCAATCCTACCGGATAAAGGAATCTCCTAGACAGTACGACAAAAGGGAATAACTGGAATCAGTGCCATGCATCTCGCTAGACCTCTTAAAAGTAGTTATTTATTCAACAGGCAGTTTGCCGGAACACCGTCCACAAAGTGCCTGGGTTTCTCGAACAAAGAAAGAACAAATCAATATCCCCAAGGTTCTCAGCTTTTGTTTACTATTATACCACACTATCAGTTTACCAAACCATCTTTTTACTTTGCTACTAACCTCCCATTCGCTCTTCCAATAACAATTTCGTGACATCTTGATTAATTCAAAAACTCATCTCAGTGTAAATGGATGTAAACAGCACGGAGATGCAGGCATTCGGCCGGTGAAGAATGCGCACAAAGCACGTGAGTGAATCACACGGCCGCGACGGCATCGATGCGCGGCTGCAGCGCGGAAAAAGGGCCAGCCGCTCAGCCGCCCGCCCAGCCGCATGGGAGACCGGCGGTGAGACGAAGTCGGACACTGAGGCGGTGAAAACAGCTCTAGATGCTGTTGCTTTTCACCTAAAGTGACTCAGGAGAAAGCAAATTAAAACGTCAGTGGATAAAGGTGGACTGTTTTGACCGAAAGCCCATTCTGACCAATCACATGCATCCAGTACGCAATCATTTAGTTAAAGTGATCTAGCATAGTTTGAAACCGGTTCCTGAACAAGAACTAATACCACCTGCTAGAGTAGAACCTCATCGGTGTTATCTATCAGAGCCTTACAAAGTCCTGTTATGTGGTCATGATGGTTGGTACCGGATACACTAATTTGGGCGGGATGAGTCTTTTGATGAGTGAACTGGCAAAGAACACATTAAGATTCCTCCTGAATATAGCACCTGACAGCATTTTAACAACATACCTCAGGTCTGAAAAAGCTGCACCACAAAATTCTCAAAACAACAGACCTCACACCCACTGAGCACCTCGTTTGCCAAGCATTGAATTACTTGTTGCTAAAAAAGTGGGTTGATCACCATACCGCCTGTAACGGCTCTAATCTGAAGTGGTAGGGCTTCCAAAGGAGTAATTGGCGTTCCTTCCCACTAGCCTCTGCCATCCTTGAACAAACGAGGTCCATAAAGTACCCAATAAGAAAATTCAAGTAGTGTTTCATTACCACTCGGTTTTAGGAAATGTCTTTCACGTCAATTTTCTAAATAAGTCTCGTTTGATAGGTCACGTGCGACCCAATTTATCAAATCCCATCATCCGGCGCTAAATGGGAAGGCGACGAGTACTGCGGACGAGAGTAGCAACGGCTGTACGTTGCCCCCTTGTGCATCCGGTCAGTTACCATGGTTGGAATGAAAAACTGGTCGGCGCTTTAGGAAATAAGCCTAAGTATGTGATCCCTCCATGACACGGTAATAAAGCTTCGGTGTACAGTGACGAGTGTGATTACAAACAAGCCAAAAATATCGTTGGCGAAAATAAACGTCAAATACAATAATAACGCTGACGGCTCCAAGCCATACCTGTAGAATCCACTCAGATGGCGTTGCCTCCAGGCAGGACTTTTCACCTTGCATGAACACATCGCTAAATGAATGAAAAAGAATCAAATACAAAGAAGCAACGACTAAGCTCCTTTAAGCAAGAAATGTGCCATTCTTGACACTGTTCCAGCAACGAAAGAGCAAGTGGAGTCGCACTGCTGAAAGAGCCCAAATCAAACAAGAAAAACCATTCAGTAGTCACAAGCGCAAGGAATATAAAATGCAGGTACTCCACTGTAAATGCAACGGGGAGAAAGACTTCAACACAACGGGAACAAGTCGCATGTTGCCATTGGCCTGGTGCACTGTGGCACGACGTGTCGCATGAGCGCTTCACACTAATGCCGAAGTAGAGGCCAGAACGATCGCCGTCTTAGGTAACCGCTTGCACTCCGGAAATTCCTAATCCCACACAATGAAAACACAAGAGTTGGAAATTCTGAGAGGGTAGCTTGTTTTTTCTTCAAAACATCCAACATATGTACAAGGCAGTGCAAACACGCGATATTATCCCCAATAAAAATAGCAAGGGAGAGGGGTAGATTGGTTGGAAAAGGTTTTACAAGAGGGAGGTGAATGAAATCGTACATATGAGTAAGGCCTGTGAAGTGATGATGGTGGAGTGGGATGGTATGATGTGTAAGTACAGTTATGTATGAAGACATGTGCAGCTAAATCTTAGTCCTTAATCTACATTTTGTCCCTAAGATATCCTTATCCCCTGTGTGAGTGTCTATTAATTTGCAATACCCCTTTAAAATCATCCCCATGCAACATCTGCCCGTTGCGTCTTGCCCCGGAGAGCAAGCGGCTACGGCGTGTGCGTGCTGTGCTGTGTGGTGTTTACTGTGACCCCTTAACTATCCCGTCCCTAATTAATACCCCATCTACTTAAAATGTCTGTGATTGAGGTGTGTGCGTTTGTGTTATGTGAAAAATGGTCTTAGTGGAGGGTGTGTGGAAAGAGTGGAGGGAGAAATCAGCCGAAAGTATTAGTTTTTCCGCGTGCACAAAAAAACGACCAAGAACTGAGGGACTATCAGAAGAGAGAACGAGCTGACTGACGGACAGAGACGAGCAAAAACGGCCAGCAAACTACGTACTAGTTTGTGTGTGTGCGGGTGTGTGTGAGGTGTGACAGTAACAAAAGAAGCGACGAAAAAGCAGGCGAGCGAAGAATGGACGAATGTGTGTGTGTGTGCCCGTGCGCGTATGTGTTAGGTGAATGCGTGTGGGCTTCTCCGTTACGTACTCAATCAGCCCCGGTGTCGGGAGATCGCGAGACTCTAAATAAATTACAAAACGCACTAGTAGATGAATAAAAACAACAATGAATGTGCCAGCGCCACTAATCACAAGCCTAACAGCACAGTGTTTTAAAGAAATTAAAGTGATTTGAAAAACAACCAAATTTCACGGGCTTCGATCAGGAAGGGCACTATCAGTAGGTTCTGTGGGAAAACAAATAAAAAAGAGGCTAAAACCAACCTGGTGGCAACAGCGATGGCTGCATCCCGAAAGGACGCCGAGTTGATAAAAAATGCGATGGTAAACGGAGATAGAGGGAGGAAGATAGACAATAAAGCGAACGAGCAGACGGACGGACAGAGGGCAACAGGCAGATGCGTTGATAATGAGCGGAAGAAGCATGAGGTGTGGCGACGACGGCGGCACAGCAGTAGCGGCAACTGCAAGGGAACGACGACGAGAGTCAACGTCCCTGTCCTCCTGGTCACCACCCGCCTCTCTCCGTCTAGAGGCCGTACTGGCTGTTAAGTCGATTGCGCAGCATTGGTGGACACTGAGTCCAAAATTTGTTCCATGCCTCCTCCCCAACCTCCGTTTTAAAAGCCACCAAAATCTACAGGGGGCAGCGATGCATTTACCTTTTTTTGACCTTTCAACTACACACCCATAGCTAATACTAACACAGTTGTGGTTCAAACTTGAAATCTTAGCAAGCAAGCAGTAGACAACCTTTCCATTATAGATGCCAAGAACCTATTTACCGAATAAAACTTTTGCTTTAAATCATCCTTGGGATTGTTCCAGGAGGCGACTGCGTCACAGAAGAAGAGGAATTCGTTCATCACACCCTGTGGATTCAGCGTTATCACATTGCAGATGCCTCGAAATGCACTGTCCTTCTCCTCATTATCACGGATGTTGCGCAGAGATAGACACCTGTAGATTTCAAAAAAGCATCCCCTATAGCCACGTTCGAGCACATTCTCCAACCATCTGCGTGATTTCTTGCCTAATTGGTGTTACTGAATTTGCGGCAAAAAAAGTGCCACGGCAATCAAATACGCACGGATTTCGATTACTTTGAAAGAGACACTCAAGGCTTTCACTTTTTGCAATTTAAAAGGAACTTGCAAGCCCGCCAGTTTGATTCCACAGCAAAAAGATTTGGAATTTGCCTACTGAGACAGTCAGAAGCTTACCAGGAAAGTTTCTACGCAAATCTGCATAGCAAATCACATGTTAATCGTCACTTGGGGTAAAATAAATACACATTCAGGTGTAAAGTTGAATGCTGGACAAATCAAATTTAAAATCCAAAATATGCCATGATCATCAGGCAGAGCATTCCTCGACTATCTACGGGGCAGATTTTTTACAAGCCCCGACCAATAGAGACCCTATTATGATGGGATAGCCAATTTCCCACCAATCAGTATGCACAGAGGAATGTTTAATCCAAGCGCCATAGATGCCTAGCCTACACATGCGCGTCCCCAAGCGTGTGGATATGCGGGCCTGGATGTGCAATGGCGTGCCCGAGAGCCATATGGGACATGGTGGGGTACCGTAATAAGCGCACGTCTTGCCTTGAAAGTAATTCCATCCTACTACTACCCCGCCTACCATGACTAGCAGCCTCCACTGAGGTGGTAAAGAGGAAAGAGGTGAAGTCACCCGTAAAACGAAGCATCTCAACTGGGATGAAATTTGGGGCATTAAACAGTATTAGGCCACCTCCTAATAATAAATGCAGTGTACCAGAGCTTACCATGCACGGATAAAGAGAGGCAGAAAGGAGGAGATCTCTCTTGGGCACACGTACCCCAGACGCCCGATTGTGATAGCTAAAGTGTGAGAGAAGTAGAACTGATGCGCTAAGTAAGAGAAATGTTTGAATCCAAACATCTGTAAAGTTCGACTAAAAATCACTGCGCTGGCAAACACACAACACAAGACCGCTCTCATGAAGATACAGCGAGCACCGCTTAATGCAATCGTGCTGAAGCGAGCAGCTCACATGCAAGAGAAGTTAACCAGGCACTCTCAAAATAGCAAGCTGTAAGTGGTGTTTGTGACCATGGGATCGAGTAAATTTAAGAGCCGAAATAATTTGTGCCACAACCTAACGAGAAATAGATTGGCCTACGAGACACGCGAGGACAAGGAAACTATAACAATGTGATCGAAGCTCGAGTTGCACTCATGAAATTTCCCAGCGGCGCAAGCAACAGGCACTGAACCAGCTCCGTTCGGACTCAATTTTGAAGAGGGAACCTGTACCCTGACAAGGGGTGAAATGCATTGACAAGCTGCGGAATGCGCACCCGGTGACAGATGGTGCCCCCAACGGACCCTGACAGTGAAATGAGGACCACCCGCAGTCAAGCGGCACTCACTACGATCTGGCATCGAACTGGAGACCTGAGTACCTCACATCTTGGTGAACGAGTTAAGCCCCCTAATTAATTAGCCCGCAGTACTACTATGGGACTAATGGATGAAGCGAACTCACCGGCATTTTCATGAAGCGTCTTCGGTGCATTTTGCCGATTAATAATCTCCACCAAGGGTTGGATGAAAAGTGAAGCGTATGGCTGCATCTCTTCGCCTAGGTAGAATGTGTTGCGCAAGGTTATCATTGAAGCAACCGCAGTGACGCTAAAGCATTAAAATTGGAAGGATTTTTAACACAAAAAAGTAAATCTACAGAATTAGCAGTTTACTTGAACGAGCGGGGATAAAACAGAGAATAAGAAGGCACAGAAATTCCAAGATATACTCTGTGTACATTGTGACAAATTAGTAGAACAGAAACACAAAAGGCGATGTGGGTTAAACTGAGTATTGGCGCTAGCTTGAAGGTAGACAACGCAGCTCGTCATAATACACTCTTGCATCATCAGAACAGTCGAGTCACATCATCGGAACACCGGTTACAAGTCACGGAGTATCAACAGTTCTGATTAAAAGCATTAAATAAGCGTAGAATTTCTTCGGGGACTGAAAGGTGTATGTGCTGGACTGGACGAAGATGAAGCAAGTGCAAATTATTATGAGGAAGGAAGTGACTATCAGACAGGGAGGTCCATTCCAAAACCGGTACCGTCAATGAGACAACTACAACACCCTAGAGAGTGCAAAGACGCAAAGCAAAACAGTCATCCTACGCACCCAAAAGGTCTTTATAATGTGGAGTATTAATGCACTTAAGGAAAACCTGCGAGGCATCATAATTGCCTAATCTTCTAAAAATGCAACCGAAGTAGCTTTTTCAAACACAGTTAAAGTGGATGTGAGTGGGATAGAAATGGAAATAGTCTCAGCTAAAGGAAAGAGATTCAGAAGCTGGGTTGGTGTGGGGACATTAAAATGAATATGTTAAGTAGCTCCTAGTGCGTGAAAAGCGTGAAGTTGGTGGACGAAAGATAGCAATGCGTTCAAATAGCTTATTGCTCCGGAAAGTATCGGAAGCAATTTAGGCAAGTACAATGGAGGCAAACGAGAATATGAAACCTCTAAGAAGCTTGATTACAACTCAAATTCTCCAGAAACCCTAGAAAGCTACAAAGAAGGATCACCCATCTGCATGCAGATCTCCCCGATGGCCCAAATAGCGTTGTTGCATACGGAGATGTTGGGAGAGGAGAGGTTCTGCGCAAGGACGCTCATGAAAGCAGCCACTTGGGGTTTGATGTGAGCGAAGCAGACCTTCGTAAGATCGCCGAGGAGGGCAAAAGTGCTCTGGCGCACGTCAGGCTGCTGGTCTTGGGCGCACTGGTGAAGCAACGTGACGAGGTTGCTGTTCGCCATCAGTGGCTCAATGTGGTTTCCCAGGCCCTCTGCAATCCCGCTCAGCAAGTCCAATGATACCACCATGAAATCCTTGTCTGGCTGCTCATACAACTCTGGTTGTTGCGCGTTTGCCTGCAGGTCGGGATGTGGTAAGAGGGACACTATCATAATCGACTAACACGCATCCTATTTCTGCATTGCCACGTCAATCCCCAATCCAATTGTGCACTCCATACCATTGCGAACCAAATAGCTTCGATAAAGACACTTGTGTTCGATATTTAGTTCTATGAACTAGCAGAACTCAGATAAAAAAAGACGAGAACGGAGGGTAAACTAAATTAAGTCTGAGAGACTGTAATCACCGTTGAGATTATGGGTAGGAAAACCTGATCTTCAGGGTATTTTGGTAGCCAGTCTATCGTGTTGCAAGCTAAGTTCCTCTGACAATGCGACAATAGATAATCACGATGGACTAATAAAACAAATAAAATTCAAACCTTAGGAGTTCCAAACATTGTCATGCTAGCGAGTAAAAAGAAAGCTGGGACCCTAAAGCATTTTCGGAACTCGGTACAAACAATCTATTGTGCTACACCATTGATGTGCGGTCTCAACCATGGGATACTTGTTCTAGCCTCCAAGCCCTCTGCGATGCCAGTAATAAAGTTGCATCTAGCCGTTAAGATGTGGTCTGTGCTACACCATTTGAGCCTAAGTTACGAAATACAGAGCAGCAAATTCTTGCCACTCCTACGTCAGAGTACCGAAGGTGTTTACAACAAAAATGAAGCGTCGACAGTAATTACATCACACCCACTTTCATTGCATAACGTGAGGTGGTATAACGAATAGGAATTCGCAAACATTAATTCACACAAGCAATTTTTGAATAATCAACGAGATTAAACTAGGTGTTTTCAAGTGACAATTAAACTCACCATACTCTGCTGGATAGTCTTCTCAACCAGCGTCACACATCGGTTAAATACAGGTGCGCAATAGGGTAAAAATCCAATACCGAGTGCTGTAGCGACACTTGATAGACATTCCAAAAGGGGGAACAAGTCCTTGTCATCATCTCTAAGGTTGTTCCACTTGGTAAACAGAGCAGGCATTAATAAATCCTCGTAATCCTTCTTATACAAATTATGCCCAACAGAGTCAGCCAGAGTGCCAATCGCGTCGTAGAGAATAATCAGATTCTTGTGTTGATACTGGCCCAACGCAGTGACCAAAGTCTGAAGTATATGGTCTAAGTAGGGGCACAGATCTGTTCCAGCCTCCTCTTCCAGTGTGGCAAATGCCGAGCACGCCGACTCCTGAACGCGCTTGTTGGTGTCTAGGATGCGATTCAAGAGCTAAATAGGACACTTAGCGTAGGATAATTCAAACATACCTCGCCTACTAGGGGGCGCAGATATTGGTCGTGTGGCTGCCCAACAATCCAATTAGCGTATCTACTAAGAGTCCAACAGGCGATGCTCCGAATGAGTGGTTTTGGATCAGCCAGTGCTTTGATAAAGATGGTGCAAAGATCAGGGAGATAGGGCACCATGTCGTTCATGCAACCTAGACGGATATACAGTTGGGACAAATTTACACCTACCCTCAGCAATAGCACCGAGGACAAGGATGGCAGATTCCCGGTAGCACCAGTCTTGGGAAAGGAGATACTCCTTCGTGGTTGGGAGGAGGTATTGAAGAATTTCGCTGTGAAATATGTTGGCCAGCACGTCTAGCGCCGCCGCTGAGCACTTCCGCAGGGTCCAATTACTTACGTATTCATCGTCATCGTCATCATCATCATCGCCTTGCATGCGATTTCGTGGTTTGTGAAAACGTGGTTTGATATCACTGTCTTTGTCCGGCACATGAGAGTCGTTATCGAGATCATTCTAAGATAGGCGACCGTAAGAAAGTGAAGCGACTAATTACACTGAGCAAGGCAAGATCACTCTCCGAATACTTCATCCCTCGCACAAGCACTGGAATAAGACGGTCAAGATATCCGCTTAAAACTTGAAAGCATAAAGGTGCATCAGACAGAGAGAGCCAAAATTCACACGCCTCAAGTGCGGTAGCCTCGTCAGCATCTTGGGTTCGGAGCAAAATGTACTTCAGAAATGAATAAATACAAGAGAAAAACCCACTTCGATTATATTAGGCATATGCGGTAAGAGTATATCGACACGGACCTCAACGAGAAAGACAAATGCAGAACACACAAGTTTGACGACCTCTTTGGATGAGTCATCAGCTAACGCAAAAAGGGCTCGAAGGAATTCGTCAATGTGATTCATAAAAGCACGAGACTGATTTGATATGAATTGATTGGCACAGTGCAATGCGAGAGACCTATGATGCTGAGATGAGAATATAACACCATTACCTTATCTTGGGGTGAGGGTGCGAAAAGAATTGGATGAATTTCGGGATCAATTCATCTAACACATTAACGAAGCTATCATCTTCAAGATCATCCTTAGAATCCTCGCAAATTTTCTTAAGTGCATCAAAGGTACCCTAGAGTGTATGAACTTAAAGCGCTACTATACTTGAAGGAGATATGGGTCGTGAGTGGTGAGACTTTGAATTAGTTGAGGAATGACCTGCGGCCACGATTGCAGTCCACCAACACTGACAAGGGTTGTGATGAGAGTGCCGGCGGTTGAGCGAATCAAGGGATGTGGGTCGTTCATTGACCTAAGGGCTTCCTCCTTTACACAAGCAATAACGTCTGGTGGTTGCTTGCTGTACGTGGACGCCAGATGATTTTTCAGAATCAAACCGCTCATTGATCGAGTATATTCGTCTTAATTTGTTTTAGAACAGTACCGAAAACTACCTTCGCCAATCATTTTCGAGAATATAAATATAAGATACTTTGCAAAGTCCGGAGAACTGCTAAGAGTGTTTAACGTCTAGAATTATAAGCCAAAGAGGACTCCGAACCTCATGAACTCGACGCTGAGCATTTGTATCACCAGTTTGAGACGTGTGTAGTAGATCAAGAATCCCCTTTACATCAGACTCCTGCGGGACCCACGTCATTATCAGGAAAACGCATAAATGGCTATCTCCTGAAACAAGTGCGTTTCACAAAAATTGACTTAAACTAGAGAGTCAACCGTTGCAAAGGTAATTTACAACAAACAGAAAATTAACAAAATCAGTACATTGCAAACCAAATTTTAAGTTTAAGTAGAGGATTCACTGTCCATTTTCAGGTATTGATTTACGTTCTTTTAATAAAAGTTAGTTTTAGATTCAGATCGGAATCCTACAAGCTAAATCACAATTAAATATTAAGCAACATGCCCTGCAAAATATAAAAAAATGACTGGTACACTGGGAGGAAGTAGCCTAGGACGTGTCAATCACTACAAGCCGGACTGTACAGATTTTAATAAGGATTCTTGAAATTCATATGCCAATATATCTAGGAAACCTTAATTTTTAAAACGAAGGGTGTTGCTTTACAGTATAGGTCCCTAGCTGATACTTAATCCAAAGAGCCATTGGGTGTTAGGCCTACGAAATGCTTCACAGTTATTTTTCAACGGGAATCAACGTTTACATTCCATTTCCTTGAAATCGACTATATGACACATGAATTGTTATGCTTTTTTTGGAAACTTAGACATTTACAAGGCAATTCGGACTGCAGCGTCACAACACAATACACTTTTAGGGGTTAAGAGGTTTTGCATACAAATCTAGTAACCATAGTTTACATTCACCCAAGTAATTGTATCAGACGAGGCAAAACGGATGACGTTATGTCAAACAACTTGTGGAAACTTGGAACCACCCAAACGATGACTTCGTGATTTTTCAATTCAAGCGTTTTTATCACATTTTTTATTTTAGTAAACGAATTGAGTTTTAACCCATTGACCTGAGTGTTCAATCTAGAATTGCATGCCTTCCAGCTGAGCCTATGGAAGATGAGGAGGAGGATGTCTTGCTTTTCGAGAATAAGAATCTGTAATGTCTTAGATTTGGCAGTCTATTTGTTTTTTTTCTATTGCCACTAAGAACCCATTCTGTCATTTCTTCTGTAATCCTACACTTACCTGCGGCAGTCTTCATCGTATTCTAGACTGATTCGAACTTCTTAAAAGCTGCAGTTACTGGTAGTAGATTCAGTCCTTTTGTGTTCTCCTCTCGTGTTTGCGTATTTTTATACTTCTGGGACAGAAGTTCTGTTTTTCACCTTAAGGCAGCGCCCACTCTTATGGGCACTGTTTTTTATAGAAGTCATCCGTAAAGCCGTCCAATACTGACTTGTTGAAGGAAATTCTCCATCAAATTGCTGAAAGCATACACAAAACCTAGTTTTCATGAGAAACTTAGGAAAAATGGCACTTCCATATTTATAGAGCTATGTAGCTAGCGTATTTTAAAACACATTTCAGATGGAAGCCTCCGGTTTCTTTAACGGATTGCTCGTCGGAATATCTAAAAGACAACCCTGTTCCCTACAACCTCCTGAAGAATCCCTTTAAAAAAGACAAAACTGGAAGCGTTCCAGCAGAGTACGAAAGCCGAATCTGGAGTCGACTTGGAATGCTCAACGCTCCTGAGAAGGGCGTCGGACCCGCTGTCGGTTTCTTAAGTGATGCTACACCATCCACCCTCGATGAAGCAGTACGAAGTCCCTCTTAAACATTAACCTTCTCTCTAGAATCTCTACTATGCGAGATCTGTCCCACCAATTCGTTCGAAACGAGCTATCAAACGGGAACGCAGAGTAAGCATGACCTACTTCATACGCGTTTCGTCATGCTTTGTTTATGCGCGTGTTCTATTTGTTTGCTCCTGTTCTTAAGGCTCAGAAGAAGTCAAAGTTGTCAAATTGGTTCGATTTGCCACGAGGTGACTTCTCAAAAGAGAACCAGGAGGACCTTGAAGTTATTGCGAAACGACACATTTTGGATCCTGCATTGCATACTCGCAAAGAGGATGGTCGAAAGTCCTACTTCCAGGTTTGTTGCTATTTCGCAGTAGCTGAATATCTCCACACCAAGTCCAACGTATCTCATTTTTCGGCTTAATTTTAGGTGGGTACCGTTATGGACGACCCAGGCTCATTTTACGATCGCATTCCTCGTAAACAACGTAAGAAAAATCTGGTGGACGAGCTTTTGGCCAATGCGGAGTACATGAAGTGAGTTCAAGATCGTTGTTTATGCTCCACCGATGCACAACACTTGATCACTTAAGTAGCATCCTTATATGACTTGATATCAGTTGGCTAGCGCTTGGTTCCTTGTGTTCAGGCTTCTATTCTTGAATACCGCTTAGCAAAGGAAACATAAATTTTCCCCTTTATAGGAAACAACGTCGTCAGTACGCTATTTTGCAGAAAGAACGGCAAGAGAGGCGTGCTTCTGTGCTTCGCAAAAAGAGACAGCAACTAAGGAAGGCAGGCAAGATAAAAACAGTTGAGATTGAGGACCGGTCCCTTCGTAAATGAACATCTCCATGTCAATATTAATGTACGGAGCTGCAGTTTCCCTGTATAAAGGCTTCTTCGGCATATTTCGTATGTCTGCCCATTCGAATTGCAAAGCACAGAGCAGAGGAGAATTACAATCACTATCTAGGAGACATCAGAAAGCTTCATGAGTGTGAATTATTACTAATTTACTTCTGAGTATTGGTGCTAAAATGTGTGGTTGAAGATGGGAGGGTTGGAATAATACAATCCAGCCTTGACAGCGATTGGGGGCCACATATACATGAGGACAGGGAATAACATCTACAAAGGAAGTGGAAAAATGAAGTCACCTGAGCATCCGAATAGGCCGAGGCAAGCATTTGTGAATGAAGAAGGTGCAATGCTTCTGATTTTGATTTTTGATATTTTACTTAGCTGAGATGGCAAAGCCAATCGCGACCGTCAAGGCTAGTTACGCCACAGTTCAGGGTGATTTTTCAAATAAGGATTCTAGAATCATGTGGCCATTTTCCAAAATAATATTTCTTCCATCCAAATGCTGAATGCCTGTAATGGTTTTGACGATTAAGAACTCAATAAAAGGTCTAGGTGAGTTGTACTGTACGCTTATTCTAAGTGTTCAGAAATTGCTACGGCTACAAAGCAAGCAAAAGTGCGCTGGAGATCAGCCAACGGAGGACGGAGAGTTCTTTATCCCCACAAAAGCACTTTTATCTTTTTACAACTCCCGGGTTGTACCTTTGAGACAAATATTTGGGCAGCCAAGCTATCGTTGGTAGCTAAATAAATGTGAGCTTATATAGTGAGGAGGTCAAGAGGATTATAGCTGCAGCCAATGTAAAGGAGGGAGGAGCTTACTTAGGAGGGGGGATGGAAGGTCCAGGTATTCGCCTACGAGGCAGCGCCGTTGGCCGCTGAGGTTTGAGGCGTCTGATCGTTGAGTTTCGGGATCTTGGTCGGTACTGCGTCGTAACAGCGGCAGACATTTGCAAAATTCGCCTCTAATTGCTACAAACAAATGGACAGATTTAAAAATCGCAGCCCAGAGTCACTGCTACTTATTAATTGCCAGTAGGCGGGGATGACAAAAATTAACCAAAGACACAACTAGCAGGGGAATGAGGGCAAAACCTGATGAGGCATTTATGCTGACGTTCTATTGCGTGGGATGGTTAGATTTAAAGCTTCTTATTGCGACCCGACTCAATTTAACGTCTGATTCCCCAACCTACCTCGTCTACTGTTGGCGCTTGCATTCGTAATTTTGGAAACCCACGTAACTTGGGTCCTTCAATGAGGAAACGAACATTGATGCCTGTAAATACCGCTTGAATTGATGTTTACCCGGAAACACCATTTAGGTTTCAGGACATTTTGGAATTACTAACTGGGCTAGTCTTGACAATGATACCAACTAGGGTCGTCCAATAGCATGACGCGCATGCGGCACGTCCATCGGGGTGCGGCACGAAGTGACTTGCCCACACAAAGCTCGGTATGCAAGGTCAGGCGACCACGCCCATGCGCCACTTCCACGGTCAAATAAAGTAGACAGTACCACTGTTAATGGCGGTTGCGCAAAGCGCAAATAATTGCGTCACAAGGCCACTAGTAGATGTGGCGCGCAACTAATGAAAAAGAACGAAATACTCTCCTCACTTCGTTGTATAATACTGAACGGTCAAAAGTGTACCCTTAGCAGTGTCACGTGGATGCTGCAAAGATGTGCGTGGGAGGAGGTAAGTGAGACGCAGATTTGACGCGAAAATTCTGAATGAAAATAAACATTCAAATTCTTTCAATAGGTCAGCCTAACTGCCAGCAACTCTAAATCCACGAAAAATAGGTGATGCTAAACAGGTAAAATTAATCACCAAAAAATTAGATGAGTGAGTCGCACATCGCCGAAAGTTGTTCGAAAAACACAAGACGCTGCATAAATTGAGGCCACCCACAACCAATCCATAGTGCAAATATCTCATTCCAATGAAGCGTTACACAATCAAAATGCGGGAGGCTGCCTCTGCTGACCCTCAACGCAGGGCAGGAAAACCAGTGGGCAAAAATAGGCGCATAGAAGTCAGGATAGAAAGAGTTTAGAGCAAAAAATAACATAAACTCTGCACAACCGCATATGTTTGAGGAGGAAATGAAAAACAAAATCCCCGTTGTTTCAGGCTAATTAAAATGTTATGTAAGGAGGGTATTTGCCAAACCTCTCCGTAGAGTAGATTAATAAGCACACACATCGTTGGCTAATAGCCCACGCTGCATCCCAATTAGACGGAGGGATGTGTGTGCCAAGTGCCACGTCTGGAAGCCTAGCACCAAACAAGTAGGCGAGTCCCATAAAAGGCGCGCAACAAACGATGGTTCTGCATGCACGGAGAAAATCGTGTGGTTGATCTTTCCACCGAAATGTGCACTTGAAATAGACACCGTGCAAGTGTAAACGACGCCTGGTGATGGGAAATATACCGGGTGCGAACAAAAAGGCAGTGGGAAGGACTGATTAACGTGGAAAAGCGTGGCGATAACGAAGCTAGAATTAAATCATCTGACCTGGGAGAGTGGAGTGGCGATTAATGGGAGCTGGCAGGCGAGAAAAGAGCCCACTTTGCAAGCCACGCTAATCAGGCGAATAAGAGCCAATTACAAGTGTGAGGTATGAGAAAAACCGCGTCTCACCTGACGTACGTATGTCACTGCTTTAAAGAAAGTAGGGCAAATCTGACACACTGGCTTCAAGAGCGACAGGTTTGGTGGTTTGTAATCACACACGCGCACACTCACGGAACACTGGGTGAGAATTACAGCCAAAAAATTGTGTTAGAGGGATTGGTTTTTTTCTTCAAAATCCAAGGTAAGAATGTCACCTGCCTGAATGCACTGAGGACAGGCGTCCGATCACCGATTTATCATAATCCTTAAGTAATTATCGCAATAATGCCCGCATGACAAAGGTGAAAGCGCAAAAACACACAGATACGTATGGGACATTACCAATAACTTAATTATTAATTAAAAGAAATAAGTTAACTTTTGACATTCTGCGCTCCCCCATTATTTCATTCACAGATAGTCTTAGTCACCAAAACCTAGTTAATCGGACACAGTGAAGCGGTCAGTGCAATGGCTGAGAATCACATTGAACGCCAAAAAATGACGCAGCAGTACACGAAAAAAAGTAGGCGACTCATCCCCCGTCACATGGTCAACACAATGCCAAACAAGCAGCAAACGGTACACCACGCAGGGCACGTTCACAACGCGTCATGCTAGCCCTCACCCATAGTATCAGTGACGGTAGGTAAGATTTTAAATGGCATAATACCGTCCACAGGATTCAGACACTTTTGGGGAAAACGGGGAGTCCGGTGCGTACTATCAAAATAAACACCAGCAAATTGCGTGATTGTGAAGGTAGTCACGCGACATAATGAAGCACGACTAAGCTTAGCAGCGATCGCCCTTTGGTAGATCAACAAACAACAATTGCCATCCTACCATTTTATACATTAATGTCCCATAAATTTTGTAGATGACGACTCGAGTTATGCCTTGTGAAAGGGTATAAAGAGGATATGAGTAAGCGTGACAATCTTGGGGAAAATGGAAAATTCACAAACGCTCCTGCAAAACGAAGAGAGGGAATGAAATCTAATTTAAAAAAAAAAAAACAGATTTCCCTGTAAGTCCATGCCTCAAAAGCGCCGTCTCCACCTTCAAAAGTACTGCAAAAATTCAAGAACAAGGCCAAATGTGAAAATAAGTTCGCTATAAGCCAAAGGAGCATTCACATAAAGGTAGAGGGATGTTATGGTACTTTGAGGGTTTACTATTAGTAATACTAGACATTTGAGATCACGGATTGTGCTAAAAAAATACGGATTCTAAGTGATCCTGCAGAAAGCAAAACAAATTACTTATTGTACCGGAAACCAACTTCAGCATGACAATACGCACAACAGGTAAGGGTAGGTGAGTGAGTCAAGAAATGGTAATGGCTGTCTTTCATTTGCATAGATTGTGCCTCACAGAACTGAAGTTCGGTCTAGGAGCGATATTCCAGACTAATCATTCATTACCACATTAGCACAAATGTAGAGCTACATTAAAGGCGCAACGATAACTTTTTTTCTAAATTTTGCCATTAATTTCGTGTTTGATCACTAGCGCGTCTCATTTTTCACCACTGAAACGGAGATTGACTACTAATAAGCCAGGGCATGGAGATTAAAACCGAAAATGGATTGAATGCTGCGGAAGTGCTAAAATCATAAGGACATATTGCAGCATTTAACATAGGAAATGCATGAGATTTAATCGGGTCAACTTATACTTCATCACAGGTAGGAAGAGAAGGGGAAAAAAAAACTTACAGCGATTTTCTGCAGAAGATCACCCACGAGGTTGAGGGCAGCGATTCGGGTGGAGGGAGTGAGAGGGCGGAGAGTAGTGGCAAGGGAAGGTGTCCTGCCTCCCTCCGTCTGCATGCAGGCTTCGGAGGTGTCTACGGGTGAAGACACGACAGTAACTCATTTACCAGTGGGGCGATTTGACCACAGCCTTTTTAGGCGTCAAAGCTGCGGAAGTAGTCGCGACACAGAGAAAAGCATAGATACCAGCAAATTCAAACTGAAATTTCTTATGCAAGTGAGAACAACGCAGTAGTAAATCGAACGATGAGTGAGCATTGGGAAGTTGGCCAGTGGTAAAGATCTTTTAATGTAAGCAGACAAACAAGCAGATGTATTTGCTTAAAAGTGTTAAAATATGACGTAGTACAACTGTGAGAGTCCTATGGAAAACTGCAAGTATATAGGCGTACGCATTAAATGTGTATCGATGTCTCGAAACACACTATAAGTATGTGTGCTAATTGCGATGTGAAGTACGCATCAAGAAAATGCTTATATTCACGCGCACAGACCAACAGTGATCTCAGAAAGAAGCCATTGCAGACACATTAGGCTATGAAATTTGATTGGAAAAGTCAAATAAATAAACCACATTTGCAGTGGAAACTATAAAAAGCGAGTGCATAACATGTACGGGATGAGTAACAGAATAGAAAACAGAGTAGGTAACACAATTAAGCACACGAAATGATGAATATATTACCTCGTGTTGTTTGCTCAACTGTAACCTGTGGTGGAATGGCCTTTTCTGGGGATACTTGGACACGAGAACGGTGATTTAGTTCCTGATTTAAGTCTAGGAGGGATTTCAAATGATAAATACGAGAAACATATCACCAAGACAGGCAAAATTGTAAACCCGCGCACAAAGACGATTGCTTTCATTTACCAGGGTCTAAAAACTACCAAAGGCAGACGGCAAGAGCAAACATTATGGAAGATACCTTCTACGAAAACTTCAGTGTTTTTCAAGAAAGAGCAAAACAGCATGAACAAGCAGCCTTCAATGAGGAACATGGGCACCTCACCTCTAACTTCATCTTTTAATCTCTGTACACGAACATTGAGTTCATCCTTCTCGTAGAGTTCAACTTCAAGAAGGGCATTCTTCTCGAGGACCTGATTAAGACGGTCCTCGGTGTCCTCCACCGATGCCAAGGCATTGCGATTCGACCGCTCAAGATCGTCATTCACTTGCTCCAGCTGACGAATATATTGTTTTTGCTGAAACACTTCGGCTTTAAGAGTGTTGACCTCTTCTTGAAGATTTGTGACCTGTCTATTCAGTTTACCAACGAGAATATCGTGCTTGTCCTATGTAAATGATGCGGGAAGTAGTAAAAATTTGAAATGGGATACATGCGAAAAAGTGGAATCGCTCATTCGCGGGCAAAGATTGCTAACACGACTTAGAAATGCACTTACATTGCTGGTTTCAACCTGAATAGACAGACGTTCAACTTTGGCCTGAAGTTCTGCATTGTTCTTTTCCACCAATTCCAACTGGGTTTCAAGCTCTGTTTCAAGTTCCTTGGAATTCTGTTGAAATTCCCTAAATTCCTCCTTTTCCTCTTCCCACCTAATCAATAAGAGGTTAAACGATAAAAACCAACAGTCTTTTATATTCTTCTGCCTTCCCACGCCAATAATTTACGTCATTGGTATCGCCAGAGGCCATTTCGACCTTAAGAGAGAGATGCATACAGTATTACAAAAAGGGTTGACATTCAAGCAAGACATGTAGAATAGGGACAAATGAAGTGGAAATCGAGTTTAAACTCATGAGTAGCAAATATTATCATGGAAAAGAAGTTTGCATTAGCTAAACATAGTGCATACCATATGATACCACCCTAACCAAAAAAAACATAACAAAAGCCCAAGTACCTAGGAATCTTATTCAAGAATGCTTGATTTGAAGTCGAGAGGATCCATACAGCCCTAAAACATTAAAGCTTTGTTCCTCAAAAAAAAGCTGCCATTCTTTTGCAAAATGCGTCATCGCCAGAGATTAAAATTAAACAGACTACTCTAATTTTACATGAGACTCTGAAGAGAAGCTTTAAGCATACTAAAATGCACAAGATTGACAGTGATTTACCTAATAACAGAACTTAGAACTCCCCAGCAAGCCTGCACACCAGCTCAAAAAGAGAGCTTTTTTATATAGCGGATTAAGGCAGGACTATATTTGTTGTTGATTAGGATAAACAAAACAGTAATTATAAGAAATATTAAAATTAATTAATAATATTTTTTACACAACATTTGTTAAAAATATTTTAAATTGATTTTTTAGTAGGGAAAAATAAAATGATATGGTGGCACAAGGCTTCCTAGAAGTCGAAAGAAGCCATAATACTTGGTGAGATTGTGTATTAACAATATTTAGCAAAGATTTACACTGCTGGCACGAATCGAAAACTAGGTTGTAAGCAAAAATACAACTTGTAGAGAACTATGTGTCCGCGCAATCAAATGCAAAGTTAGACAATTTATCAAAGCATTACGCAGTCAAGTTCTCCATCCAAGTGTCGTCTCCCTCCAGTCCCATTGTTCTACCTCCCGCATTGGCCATCACAACGTAGTCGATGCTTAAAGCTAACACGCACGAACCACCAGTGCCAATCTTCGGATTTACATGCAACTGTAGCGTCCCGGGACTCCCTGAAGACGAAAGAAGACACAATACTCGGGCAGAATATATATTCAGCACGGAGAAGGTGTCTGGGCTATTGGCATGGCCCAAAAGGCCAGCCCACCCAGCAAGGTACAAGGGGGCTAATTCGAGGCACAAAAGTGGCGCCTCACCAGAACCGAGGGATAAACCACTATCGTATTACACAAC